TTTATGAAAGCACTGAAGAAGCGTAAGACTGTTGTTCCGGTATATAAGGAAGGCGAAGCTGGGCGTCACTACGGCGGAGAAGCCACAGGAATCAGATCTTACATGGTCCGATCGAGACCCTTGAGTGGATAATTTTAAATTAAGTTAGGAATAAAATTTTATTATAAAGTTTTCTTGTAATTAACTTTTTTTATTATTATCTTTTATAATATTATTGTTTGCTTTATTAATTATATATATATTATTCTGAAGTTAGTTTCAAAAAAGTTTTTGATAAAGAATTTAAACTTTTTTGGTCATAAAAAATTATTTTATTAGAGAAAAATTAAAGTAGTATTAAGTATGCTAATTTTATTCAGAAATTTAGAAACATTGAAATTAAAAGAACTTTAAATTTTATTTAGTTCTTTTTTAGATCCGCGGGAAAAGTGGTGGTAACTACTCGATAAGCGCCGGTTAGATTTTTTTAATCAATTACATAAATTATGCTACTGTGTAGTAAAGTCATTAAACTATAGAACTTTATAATAATAAAAGAGATAAACGCATGCTTTTAGCTTGAAATTTTTTAATTTGAAAAATTTTGAAATGTAAAGACAGTTTATTTTCTAATTTTGTCCCTTTAGAACTTCTGTTGTTTTTCTGTTAAATTTTAACAAAGTACAAAATTGCATAACGCCATCTTCTATCATTGAAAAACTCTCTTTATTGTTAAAACTTCAACAACTTTTAAGTTGTATAAGAAAGAAAAGTTCAGAGTTTGAGTAAACAGCGTGAAGAACGAATCATATTTTTTTTTATTTATTACTATTTTTTTAATAAGCTGGCCATATTAGAGCCCTGTAACTTTAATCAAAGTGATCGTGCGTAGAATTTGAGGATTGTGAAGAGCAAAATTGCACAGAAAAGCGAGAGAAGTCCGTCGTTTGAAGATTCCTTTAAAAATTTATTTAGTACATATCACTATGAGCTCTTATTTAAAGTTTAATAAATGTTTAGAGGATATATATTATTACTTGATAAGTTTAAAGTGTATTAAATCTATAAAAAATATATTGAAGATGAGTGCTATATTTCGCAAATGCAAAAGCATTTGCTACTAAAGAGAAAAGCATAGTCTGCCTCTTAGTAAAAAAAAAATAAAAAATTAAAGTATCTAACTAGTATCCTTCTGGATTTTTATTTTCATCTACCAATTTTTTTTTTTCTTTCTATTAGTTACCTTGTTTTTTACACAACAGCTCCTCATACGCTTTTTCTTTATTTTTGTTAGAAATTTTAGTAAAGATTAGTAATATATTGCTTCAAGCAAAAAAGAGGTATGTTTAAAAAAAAAGTAAGAAAGGAAAAGATGCAATAGTTGTTAGTTTGCTTTTAAATTCTTTGGCGTAACCCAAAAAGTTTAATAATATTGATATTTTACTTTAAGCGAGGAAGAGGGCTGCTACTGATAAAAGGGAGAAAACGGTGAGTAAGTACGAAAAATTAAAGTAAGCGCATGAAAGCTTATAAGATTCACACGTACAACTATAATTTTTAAAACGTACAAATATATTAACTTTTTTTAAATACTGTAAATCAAGGTTAGCAAATTAACCAGTTTCAAATAAAAGTAGATACTACGACTAAAGAGATTAGTAAAAAATTAAATAAATTTGTTTATGAGTTCTACAAGTTCCGGTGCTAATAAAGTATTAATTGATGAAAGTACTTTGGAAAATTGGAAATCTCTTTTTTCTAATGAGCAAGAAATATATACTACTCTTTTTAAAGAAAATTTAAACTTTGGTTACACTTAACTTTACACAAATTAAGAAAAATTTTCGGCTTGTATTTTTAAATTCTATTTTAGGGCGGTTAAGCTTCTTAGCAAACTCAATAAATAATTTAATTGAAGTATTCGAAAATCCATTTTATTTGTCCGAAGTAGCTATATTTCAACGTTTGTTATATAGAAATAGAAATCAACACAAGAGAGCAAAGTTTTTTAACAAGTTAAATGAAGTTCGCAAGTTACTAAAATTTCTGCAATCTTTAAATATATTTAAAAACCTTCGCTTGCTTATTTTGCCTTTATTAAAAAGGTCTATCTTTTATTATTTTCATTATTTGTAAGAAACTTGAACTCTTTTGTATTCCTTTTTAACTACTCTTCCTTTTAGTACTGAAAAAACTAACCGTGTTCCAACCGTAAAGTTTATGCATTTTCTTTTAATAAAGTTATTAAGTTTCTCTGCGCTAACGCAAAAGGCAACTCTTTATATTACATATTTTTCCTTAACTGATATTTATATTATAGTTCAAGTAGGTTTTGGATTTGGTTTTGCACACAGTTCGGTATCTTTCTTTTACTCACCTTTTTTTACAGAAATATTTACGTTTGCTTTGACTGTAATCTTTACTGCAATCCTACAATCTTTAAGTGTTTTATACTTGACAATTGTATAATTTGACCTAATTAAAATTTTCATATATATATACACGCATGTATATCTTGAATATTTTTTATGTTAACTGTCTCTACTTTCGTATTATTACTATTACTATATTATTACTTCTAAGTGGTTTGACTTCTAAACTATTTAAACAGGAAAATGTTAATTTAAGTTCTTTTAAACTCTAATATAATTTTCTTTAATAAGTTTTAATCCTTTGCACAACTATTTTTTCTATAATTTTTATTTATTTTTAATATCTTATTAAATTCTAAACTTATTTTAAAGTATAACAATAATTTCAAGTTTAATAGTCTTGCAAATCACTAGCAGCCGTAAAGCTTAGTTTTACGTTTTTATTAAGGCAGGTAAGTTTTGATGTTTCGGCTTATATTGAATAGCTGAAGCGAATTTTAGTAAATTTTGTAGGTAAAGTAAATCAGTTTGTTTAGCACCAAATTTCTGTTTCATTTATTTTAAGTTTTCTACTTGTCATTATCAAAGATTGAAAAGTTTTAATTATAAGACTTTCTTTATTATGTTCCTCTAGCAATTGATCTAAAGCTCTACTATGAAGCGTTGCTTTTTTCTTGAGATCGATTTAAATATAGATTTGGTTAATAGTTAAATACCCATTTCATATTTTTATCTATTTTTTTCTGGTTAAATTTAGAACTATTTGGCTTATTTGCTTTTAAAAATATCAAGTTCTCCATAAATATTTTCACAGAGTAATTTTTTTAACTTATTCAGTTTTTGCTTACGAATTAATCAAACGGTAATATTTGAAAATTTTGTGCAACTTTCTATAAATATACTAAAAAAACTATTTATACATGTCATACCTATATTTTTCAGAAATTTAAAAAGCAAATTAATTTTTTTTAACGGAAAAGCTAAGAAACAAAAAAAAAATGTTCCTTAGAAAAAAAATTTACATTATATATGTAGTTAACTATTTTTCCAGTTTTACTAAGCGACCATTTTTTTAATTTAACATTTCCACTATTTGAGTCATTCAAATTTTACAAGTACTTTGAGCTTATATTTCTTTATATTTTTGTGAGAATCTTTTTCCAACTCTTACCGCAAAGTTGTAGTAATACAGTAATCTAGTTTAAACGCTGCTTGGTTCTTTCTTTTATGTATTTAATAAAAAAACCAGCCACCACTAAGAGCCTCATAAATTATGTATTTTTTTTTTTTAATTTTAATTTGCCTCAACGCTTAATTTATTTAGTATATTTTTTAAAAAAGTTTCTTAAAATCTTTCATTTCCTTTTTTTTTTTTAATAACTTTTTAATATTATTATGGTCCCCCTTTCAGAATTTTATCTGAAATGCTTGGAACTGGTGAATTTATGGCTTTTGTGCTAGTTATGATGGGATCCCTCTCTCGCTTTAATTTTTTTTTGAAAATTTTTCTTAGTAATGCTCTTCAAATCCTTGATGTTCTTCAGCAAATTATTAAGATTTTTGCTTCGGTTTTTAACTTATTTCTTATTTTTTTAATTTTGAAGTAAAACTATTTTCATATTTTTTCATGATATTTGTAATGTGCCTCATTATTTATTACAATTACTGAAATGAATTAAATTGTTTCTTAACTTTTAACTTTTTAAATTAATAGTAAAACATACAAAACCTAATAAATTATATTTTTTAAAAGAAAAAAATTTTATATTTCATTTTTTTATTGATGTTAAGAGTTACTTATGGCTAATTACCTTTACATTTTTAAGCTTATGATATTAACTAATTTCAATTATAAATTCCTATTTTTTATAATTATGTTTTATTATGCTAACAAAACTTTTGTTAGGAAATGGACCATACAATATTACTACCATTTCCCATTGATTTTCGAGAATGGCTGGAATCTTTTAATCTTTTAAAAAAAAAGTTTTTTTTTTAAATTTTGTTTTTGGAAGCTTTTGGAAGTGTATAAAGTTTGGTTCTGTGTAGAATCAAAGCAAGTTTGTTTGGTTTTTTTATTTTTTTAGATGACCGCGCGCTTTGCACGTATCGCGTGAATATAAATACGATTTTTATAAAAAATATGGTGGTTGAGTTCTAATAAAACTCTTAAGGAGAGACATTTGTGTGTTTCGCTGTAAGCTTTAACTATAATTTTTTTTGAGATCAAGTTTGGTTTTATTTAACTTATAAAAGTTGGGCAACTTTTTCAGTATAAGAATTGTCTATTAAAACTAGTAAAGACTTATATATAAAAGTGCGCCTAACTCGCGGCTCCTCTCAGTTTTCACTAATGAGAGATGAGTATTTTCCTTTTTGCGGTAAAATCAAGTTTGGATTTATATAACTTATAAAGTTGGGGGGCCTATACAGTAAAATTATTAATACCCAACAAACTGATAATGATTTATAAATAAAGGTATGCCTAACTAGCTTATTTCAGTTGTTTTTATAAACAATAAAGCCAGATTTTTGAAGTTTAAGTTTTTTTTTTCTTGTGTATGCTTGCTGTGGGATGTGTGGGTTTCCCTAGTACTAATTATTCATAATCTATTTTTTTTTCTTAAGGCCACAGCAACTCGACAGTAGTCCCAATTTACTTTGGCAGCCCGATATATTTAATAAAGGTGTTCAGAATTTGGGACGTAATATGATCTTATCTTCAAGTTTACGTATACCTTAAACTTTTATATATCTTATTTAGAGTTAATAAGCCGTCCCGCTCATTTTAGTGAAACGAATAAAAGTGGACTTGAGGTAATATAGATTTTTGCTATATATTTAAATATAAAAAAATCGGAAAACTTTTTATTTTATAAAGTTATGGGTAAAAAAATGAGAAATTGTATTGGACGACTTTTAATTTAGTATGCTTGAAATTTTTATAGATTCTACTTAAGAAATTTCGTTATTATAGATTTCATTATTTGAAGTTATATTATTATGCAATTATCATAAACTTGCATATTCTTATTTTTTTTATAAAAATATATAAACTTGAAACTTTATACTTTGAACATGCTAAAATATTATTTTAAAGCCATTCTTTCTGCTTTATAGAAGTAATAATCCAAAGTAAAAAAAAAAGTTATAGTTAACTAATTTTAAGTATAATTAAATTTTTAGCTTATTTGAATATTTTTTAAGTATTTTATCTTTTTACTTGCGTATATTAAATCTTTTACTTCATTCTTTACTTGGAGGGGGTTGTCAAAATTTTTAATGTCATAGCAAGCGTGGAATTTAAAATCTTTAAATTTACGTTTAACTTTTAAATTATGTTAGCTCAAGTAAATTTAAAATAGTAGTTTGTAAAAAAAAATTTAATTTTTCGATGGTTAGATTTTTTAAATCTTTTTTTATTAAACTTTTAAATACTTTGGAAGGAGCAAAGTATCAAGCCGACGGTAATAAATAAAAAGCATGGACTTCGCGAAGGAACTACTACGGCGGCTTTCCAGGGGAGCAAATTAATTTATCACTACACCAATAAAAAAGTTGAGTCTATTGAGAAAAAGATTCTGCAACCGACAATGTTTGCATAGTTAATATTTATTATTTACCTTATTTATGGGTAGAAAATATTTTTTTTAATAAAAAATAGTGGTCCTTACATTTTTTTTTAATTATTTTTATAGTCCAAATAATTAAGTACTATTTTTTTAAGGTATTTTTTTAAAAATATTTAAAAAATCAATAATTTGATTTTTTAACTTTTTTAATTTTTATTGCTTTAGATCTAAGAAAAAGAAAAAAAGCAGGAGGAAAGCGTTGGACGAGATGGATGAAATTTTTTCTATTTTAATCTAAACCTAGCCCCTTCACCAGCCTGTACAAGTATATTCAAATTCCAGCTTAAAGTTAGAATAAAAATTTATATAAGTAAATACTGATAAGCTTTAGTTTCGTTTGAAACATCATTCGCTTGTGGGAAAAGATTCTAAAGATGACTGGATTAAATTATTGTAAGACACCGAAACTGAAGCGTCTTTTTTAAGATCGTCAGAAATTTCTGGAGGTATGTCAAAAATTTGCGGGCTCCAGTCTCTGTCATCACTTCGAGATCTTCTAAGCTGGTGAGGATTGGCATTCAAATATCCTCGTCTTTTGCCGTCCTCCTTCTTTAGTTCGAGACTTAAATCGGAAAGCGCCTTTAGACACTCCGCCACTTCCTTTCTAGTGTTGGCGCAATTTCTGTTAACAAAAAATACCGCCACTTTGTTTATATATATATACATGTATAAACCTCGCAATCGAGCCTTCCGCTGTTAGCTTCGAAACTTCCAGCTGCACTTTATCAACTTCGGTCTCCAATTCCTTTTTCAGTTTTAAATACTTATTTGCCTTATTAATGCAGGGTCTTGTAAATAATATTAATTTAAAAAAAATAGATGTAAATTTTTCTTAGATTAATTACACCCTAAGTTGGCTAAGTGGTAGTCTTCTTTCAACCTTAAGGATTCTACTTTAGCCAGACCATTCTTATAAGCCCTTTCCGCTTTTAGTTTATTTTCTTGACATTCTTCCACCTGTATGTGAGTATTCAAGTTTTAAGGATATTTGAACTTAATTAAAGAATTATAAAAAAGTGAGCAGAAGCGAAGTAACGGATTATAGATATAAGTCAGAATCAGTAATCACTTTTAAATTCAAATTATTCAGTTGCTCTTGTTTTTCTGGATCTACTTTAACTGAAGCGCCCAGACTCTTTTCGGAGTAAAGCGACTTTTCATAGGACCAACTTTCCGTCTGAGCCTAAAAAAATTGAACTAAGCTAAAAGTAAATCTTTTTAAAAGTCGTTTTTTCACCTTCAGTAGCGCATCGGAAGCTTTTTTGTATTGCTGGGCTAAAAGTCCCACCTCACTAGAAACTTTACTTATTTTATAGGGGTAAAAATAAATTACAGGCAATAAAAGTTTACGGAGTAGAAGCATAATTACTCTCTTTCTTTAACCGTTAAATAATAGGGATCTGCTTTTTTTAAGGTTGCTCTCATCCCATCTCTACTAAGAGTTGCTTTAAGCTTTTTGATTCCCTCTTGAATAAGTTGGCGATGGCGTCCTCTTAATGATTCTAACATTGATTCAATGTCATTAACCCGGTCAGAAGCAGCATTTAACTTTTCTAAGTACACTCTTATCTATATTTCATAAAAAAATATTAGTATGTAAAAAAGGTCATCTTAAAGTACAACTAGTTTTTCTTGAAAGTTGTAAATAATATTTTTTAAGGGGTATGTACTAGCAAATACCCTTGGATCTAGGTTTTTCTCTGGCATTGCACTTGTTTCTTGAAAATTCTCCACCTATTTTGAATCATACGGAAAAGTCTTAAAAACCCAACTGTCCTTAATAAGTTAAAAATAATATTTAAATAAGTTTACTGGACGTTCAGGAAAGAACTCAATACAGCTTTTAGTATCCAAAGACGGTCTCTTAAAAAAGTGATAATCAAAAAAACCAGTTGCTTTCTTTATTCTCCATACCTTAGATATATACTTACTCTGGAAAGAGTGAAATCCCGAGATTTATATATATTAGAAAGAACAAGAGATTTACTGTCCATTTAGCCCCCCAGAGATGGTTTAAAAGATAAATTCTACGTTTTAGAAATAGATAAGGGTATGTATAAATTTTCTCTACACATTACTTTTACACTTCTCCTGCCCGTATTTCGAGATAACATATAAAGCTTGGCAGCATACACGACAACCAGCTGACGGCGAAGACGAGTAAACAACTTATCCCGTCACCTTATCAATGTTAAAGGTAACTTATACGGTCCTGTAGGTTAACACCGGAAACCCTTTTTGTCTTTAATCGTTTCTGATATATGAAGGAAATGCGTTTTTAACTTATTAGGAAAATTCGAATTAAAGCTGATGCACACAACGATGTATTGTCTTATCCATTTCAATTGTGGTAAATACCAATTCACTATAATTTCTGTCTTTAGTTACATAGTTTATGCAGATATATAAATGTACTTTAATTAGCATGTGCTTGGCAATATTATGTGTCCCCTCTCAATACCCATTATCGATTTGTTTTACGATATAATTATAGTAGAAGAACCCAAAATTACAAAAGCGTTGGGTATTGGTTTCTTTACCGCGTAACTGAAATTGAATTGGACTTAATAAAATTGCGTTCTTCTATACCAAAATTATAAACTTCGTTGGACGGTTGTCGGGAAAAATGTATTTAACTGTTGTGCTTAGTGACTTTTCCGCAATTATCAATAAAAACGCAGAAAAAAAGTCAATATTCAAGACTATGAGGTTCGGTTTGCACTTAGAACTTAAAATGTCGTATTATCACTATTTTGCAAGCTTCTATAATCTCTTTTTACAGCAAAATATTATTCTGGAGACAGATAACAAAAGTTACAACAAACAATAAAGATAAAAATTTCTTTTTAATCAAGCAGTAACGCAGAGCCACTCTACACTCTAGTTAATCTCCTCGTGTTTAGTATATAAAAGTAATTTAAAAACCCCTCTTCAGAGGTAAGTAGGTGAACATGAGGGTTTATCTACCTTTCTTTGAGCAAAAATGAGCTAAACGATTCTTTTATGATACTAGTTAAACCTTCTGTCTGAGCAAATATAATATTGAAAAATCTTCTCTATAAAAATGCTATTCTTAATGACATAGATGCAAGTTTATAACAAGTCAACATAATTGGGGAAAAGAAATTTTTTTTAATTTTTATTGTCATAATTAAAATTTTTGATCGCATGGAGTATTTTAACCCAAAGTAATGTTATTATTACCCTTTTTTATTAAAAAACCAAATTTTTAATGTATAATGCAGATGCGCTTACACGCTAAATAACTTTTTCCAAGCTTTACTGCCTTTTGAGAAATTACTTTTAAAAATCAAGTGGCGAAAAACTTTTGCATTGTAACAAGGTCTGAAACTTTGACCTTTTCTCTTAATACAGAAGAGTAACAAGAAGCTAAAACTTGGCTAAGTAGTACTGACAGCTTCTAAACAAGGCATAGCCTGAACGCTCAATAGAAGGCGCCCAAAAAAAATAGGGAAATGAATTTGGGTTTAAGGGCACATTCTTTTCTACATAAAAGCTAATAAATCTAATTGGCTAAAAGCTACACCAACTAAAAAGTTTTTTTTTAGGCGAGTAATATATATAGTTGGCTTCTTCATTTTAGTAATTATGAACTGATATAAGGAGAGGGAAAAGCTATAACTTGTAATTTAAACAACGTATCAAAAAATGGACTAATACTCGAAATGGTCAATAGAATATCAACAATTAAGCTCACTAAAAAAAAAAATAAGTATAGTTATTAATATGAAATTTATATTTGGTAGTTAGTCTCCTGATTTACGAATGCGCACTACTATCTTTATTTATCTTGTACTTTTTCCAACCACTGCAAGGTGGTGAGGAATCCCAAGCATGATTTTTTCTGCAGCACTCAATAAGTTCATATATATACTGGCCGCAAGCAGACTCTCTAAAATTATGAGCTATAAAAAAAAAACATCAAATCCCTTACAGGGTCTATTAAGCAACTTTATTAATAGAAGTATACATAAATAAATAAAAAAAATAAAAATCAAGTAAAATTTCTTACTATTATATTCAATTATATTCTAATTCTATTATAAACTCAATGGGCATATACCAGAAAGACATTTTTGAAGTTCACAAGCTTCGGTTTGACAAGCAGGTTGACTAAATGCCATGCCCTATGGAAAGAAAAGATATAATAAAATTAGTAATTTAAATTGCGCGAAGTGAATTTTTAGCTGTTGACAAGGCTCACCATAACTTTACCTACGAAAAAGTCCAAACTTAAGAGTGTAGCGTTATAATGCCGGTGTACCTCTGATTGGTTTAAAAGGCTTTCTATACTAACTCAACACTGGGATTTTCATCACGATAAAAGTGAGTGGTTGCTTTAAAGAGCTGGTTTCCAGCTGGTCCCCTTTGCTTATAGAATAATTTATAATCTTAACTTTCTCATTTTAATATTAGTATCTTAATAAAAAATACAATATAATTTACGGGGTGGTGGCCTCTACCTAGGGTGCGCTGGACTCCTAATCTGTTAAACTTCCCACTCACTGAGGAGGGAGCGACATTTTTTAAGGAACAAAATCTTTTATTAAGCCTAACAGCCTCCAGCACGTAAATAAAAATTTCGTTATAGCGTCGTAAGGTTTCTTTAAAGAAAAGTATATTTAATTAGTCCGTTATTATCCTCTCTCTGCTTAAATTGAATTTATATAACATTGAAATCAAACTTATATATGTTTATAACTTAAGTTTAGTATTTCGTGAATGAATTTTCAATAAAAAAAATTTTTTTTAAAGCTTGTTTAATATATAACTTAAATAATTGTAATTTAAACACATCTAAAAGTTAAGTTAAGCCATATACTTATGAGAACAAACTTACCAGCAAGTCTTGAACTTTTTACATATGCAATTTTAACTTTCGTGCTACGTCCTTCTACTGTATAATTTCTAACCGTCCGAAGCCAAAGTAAAATGCTATTTTGAAAGGTGCGAGGACAAAAATTTGCTTATTTCAAGAATGTTCCCTTGGTTTATTTCTGCTTTGTCCCAGTCTTTATTAAGTCCACTAGCTTCTGGGTTTTGCTGTAATTTAAAAATTAAACAGCTATCTTATTCCTAAACTATTTAATATCACAACTCTCTTTTTTAATTACCAGTTATAACTGTAGGTCGGTGGATATATATTTTAATAAAGATGTAAAAGTTTTATAGTTATGAGCGGCCCCAGTATTTCTGGAAGGTTGCAGACCCAATCACAAAATTGAAGCTTTTAGTTCTGCGATAAGGATTTTGATAAAGGGTGCTTGTGGCTTTGCCGGGTTCCGGAGCGTTCTCTGATGGTGGGAGATTAACAACTACAGACGGGAAGGCTCCACTGTTGTAAAGAGGGTGATTCTCACTTCTGCAGAGATGTAATATTTGAGGAGTCTTATTATGGGCATAATATGCTTAATAGTTCAAGTAGGCCTCCACTTTTCTTAAAAATGAGTCGCAGCAGTAAGTATTAGGTGCTTACCGTCTAGCTCTTTGATAGCTTCCATATCGAATACCTTGGCGGTTGTAAGTTTTACCTTCAACAAAATTGAGATTCTTCTTAGGCAATAACTCATTTAGTTCATCTAGAGAGGAAAAGGTACTAAGCGACAGCGATCACACATCTAGGTAAAACGCTATTTGACGTTAATTAGAGTGAATTGTATAGCTCAAATTTTTAATAATTTTAAAATAAGGAAAAGGACTATAGATCGTTTAAAACTTTGTGGAGAAGTGGTGAACCCGAAAGCTCGTTGTTTGCAGAAACGCGCGAGATTAACCAGAATAATTGGGTGTACCAAGACAAGCGTAAAGTGAATCGGACATTGATAATATTAACGATACTTTGTGTAATAAATTTCCCCCGCATGTACATTCTAAAGTTCTATTTTTAATTGAGCATTGAAAAATTAAAATTTTTTATTAAATATCTTTAACATTATTTTCTAACTATAAATTTCTTATTGTAGAAACAACTTCATTTAGGAAGTCTCGGTTTCCGCTAACTATTACACCCAATTTGGAACAAATTAACTTTTTTCTCTAAAACTTAAATACGGATATAATAGTTAAGGATTGTAGTTACGCAAATTTACGGTTTATTAAGGAGGCAACCAACGCCAACTTTTTATTGAAGTCGAAAAAGCATTTTATACTATTTCTATAATAACAATCAAGAAACATGTGATCTTTTTTTTAAATTGAATGCACGTACTTTCTCGAAAAGCTAGCTTGCAACTACTTAAAACCTACGATAACGCAACATTGCATAACTCTCCCGGTTTGGGCAAAATACAATATTAACCGAAAATAAACACTTAGTAACAAAAACTTTAATGAATGAATATTTGCTTTATTATAAGAACACAATTCAAAGCAAAGATAAAAAATAGTGTGTATTAAAGAAAGTCACTCCAACAAGATCATCAATACCAGCCCGTCGGTGCACTACCTCCCCAGCAGAGACCATTCTCACGCCCCTCATGCGCCAGAAGTATATAAAAAAACGAGCATACTAGTGTGTGAACCCCAGCCGAAAAGCAGACACACTTACAGATTTTAAAACGGAATCCTGATGAGCAGCGAAATAGCTAGTATCTTTTTCCGATTTTAATGCGGACTGAACTTTTTCCTTATGCCTCTCTATAAGGTACAGCACCCCCTGCTTAGCCCTCTCAACAGCTAACCGCTCCCCTCGAATGCGTGCTGTTCTTGTGGTGGGTGGAATTTCAATTTCAACCATTCCAGAGCACAACTCCTAAATTCCAGGTAACTCCAAGAGAGCAACACCAAATCATAAAAGGCTACTCGAGCTAACCTTAATATTTTTTAAATGAACGTACTTCGAACCCACTACAGCCCCAACGGCATCTCCCAAGTCCACTTCTTCAAGAGCTTCACCAGCCTTCAGAGCGGGTTGGGGGGGCGGAGACAATAAAATGGCGTTGATCTCGTCCTTTACTTTCGTTACTTCGTTCTGAATAAGGAAAATATGAATAGCACAGGAGCCTCGAGCAAGTAATGGAATAATACTAAAGGCCCAATTATCTTAATGGTCCCCAAGTTCTTGTTAATCTCGATACTGGATCTTCGGTACTGCTGGCACAACTTTTTAAACTGCAAAGCATCCGCATAGAGAAGCAGGCGGATTTGTTCCAAACTCACAGAAAGATGCTCCTCGCAGCAAAACTCTTTGAGTGCTCTCATGATCTTCTCATTAGCTTGGAAGACTTCCCTGTAGGTGCCGCTTATCACGAGTTTCTTCATAACGTCTGCCCTTTCACCCTCGACCACCAGTTTAGCCCCCGTTTGGATTTCGATGTTTTTTAAAAGGGCGCCCTGGCCAGCCAGCAAGATCCCCGTGCGATGCCTGTCCATTGGTAGACAAACTGACCGTGATGGATTCACAAAAGCAAGAGTGAGCGTAGCAAAGGCAAAGCTTTACATTAAGCGTACCCACACTTTCGGCAGGCGGGGGATTAAGAGCCAATTGGACTTCCTGTTTAGCAATAGAGACTTTGTCCTACCAGTAAAAAAAACAGTACCAAAAAATATTAGTAGTAGTAAAAAATGGGGGCTTACCTCCTCGCCGCGCACAATAAGGCTACAACTCTCCTTGTTGAAAGTGATTTGAGCCCCAGAAATCAATCGAATGCGGTTAAGATTTTCGTAGTTAGGGCCAAAAACAGCTTTCCGTTTATCACCAAGAGGGATCTCAAGAGTCTGGATTTTGGCCACTCGAGCTTCCAAATCAGCCTGCAAATCTTTGATTTCACGTACCCTCCGGCTAACGAGGTCAATGTCCCCCTGAATGACTGTTGAAATCTACTTTACTAATAATAAGAAACCAGAAGCGCTAAATATACTCAAAGTTGAGTTATTTCTATCAACGGTGACACGAGGAATTGAGCCGGTCAATAGAGATCTCTTCTTAGCTTCGTTGATAACGTCAACAAGCAATACGGGGTTAAAAGCAACGACCTCCACGCTCTTGCGAGAACTCTTTTTTTTCACTTCTGTCCAACCCTCTTTTGAAGAGTCTTCTTCCTCGTTTAATTTCTCGAGTAAATTAGAAATTAAAAGTCATGCCAAGCTTGTAAATACAAAAAATATATATAATAAACTTTCTCAGAGGAAAATTCAGTTGGTACGTTAAGTTGCAGACTGGAAGAAGTCTTATTTTTTTCCGCAAGTTCAACTTTTTATATAAGTATACAAAATTTAGTAGTAGAAATATTCATGAAGTAAAAACATACTAGACTTTACACCCATCACTTAAATTACAATAAATAGAGCCTTTATAAACTCAAAGCTTTTTTCTTTGCTTTACCGTGAGAAGCTTGTGACTTTAATTTTTCGTGCTGGTTTTTATTAAGTTTTCTCTCGGACTTGCCAGAATCTTGTGCGTTATTTTCTGGCTTTATTTCTTTTACTTTAACCGACTCATTTACGGCTGCCGTAGTACTTAGAGAAGGTTTACATTTAACCTAAATAGAAGTTATTGACTAAAAAATAATAAAAATAGTAGCCTCCAAATTCTTTAAACCAAAATTTGAAAGTTTAAAGTATATAATAATATTAAGTATAACCAAGTGGAAATAGGAAAGATGTCGAATATCTGATGAATATAATTATAATATACTAGTAAAACTTAACCTCAGTGTTAGTAGTTTTAAGCGATGTTGCGGATTTTTTTTTGCTAATAATGGCCGAAGTTTCAAGTTGCGAGGTAGGTACCTCTTTTATAGGTTTCCTCTTCTTCTTCGTGATAATGCTACGTTTTTTATTTAAAATTTTCGACTTTTTGTTTTTGTTTCCACTACTGTCATAATTTTTTAAAAAAATAGCAACCGACAAAGCGCTAGCTACTCCTATAGTAATACCAACTGTATATTCATTCAAAAAGTTACCAGCGCTAAAATCCATTTAAGTAAAACCTCAATGGCGTATTACAAAATTCGCGAAATAAAAAAAAGTACAGGAGGATTTTTCTTCCGAAGCTAAACCATTAGAGCACCACTTATATTGCCAAGCAAAAAACCTTAAGTTTTCTTTTAAAAAGAAAGTGCACTACGATTGGTTTTTTTTATAAAAAGTTTTTATAAACAAAAATGGACTTGATCCCGGCGACGAATGAGAATTTACAAAAACTATTTACATGAAGCCCTAGTTGCATTTAATTGTTTTCTATTATTAATATTAAAAAGTTTTAGCTACTGTAAAGTTCAGTTATAAGGAAAAATTTTTTACTGAGAAAGATAGCGGTTACCCCCCCAACAGGTGGAAAGGCTTGATTGTAGCAATTATTTATATTATGTAATAAATTATAATTAAACTTGCTTAATTTAGATGTTTCTGGGTGTAACTATAGCACACTAATAAATTTTAAACGAATGTGCTAGCAGATGATAAGCTATGCTAGAATTTTTGCGTTACTAGAGAATTGGTTATAACAATTTTAACACACTTTAATATAATCGCAACTATTATAACTATAATGAAAATAGTAATGAACCACACGGCATAAGACGCGCCTGCATAACCCCCTTCAGCTACAATTCCTGAAGGGAGCAGTACGTATAACTACTACTTATTTAATAAATAACAAAAATTATAACCAAAATTTTGAACTTATTCTAACCTTATAATAATATTACAGTATAAGTAGTATGAATTTTACATTAATATTGCTAATATATTTTAGGAAAATGCTATTCATTTAAAGTTAAATTATTAGTAGTTAAACATTGTTTATGCTTTTCTTTATTTTAAATTATTCAAATTAAGTAAAAGTTAGTAATCATATTACAGTTAAAGAATTATGTTAATAAACTTATTTTAATTAATACATAACCCTTATTTTTCAATAAAATTTTCAGCAGTATCCTAAAAAATAACAAGCATAACACCACTTTAAGTATATAATCTGCTCTTGATGTCTTTTTTAATCATTTTTGAAAAAAACGATGAGTTCTAATGTTTAAAATAAACTTAAGAATACAGTTTAAGGCACACAATTACAAACAACTGGATTTTTAAGAAAATTTTGTTTATTTAGACATACAATTATATCACTATATAACGTTTTACTTTCCTAAGGTTTAGCGCCCTTACGAATGAAGTTTAAACGATTTATTAGTACATATCATTAAATATCCACTGTAAATGTAATTTTTTTAAGTTTGTGGTTTCTATGTTCGTTTTTCAACACTAATTTAACTTTTTAAAGAAATATAACTATTACTTGTTTATCATTTCTTATTTAAATTTATTAACATAAACAAAAAAATGTTTAGTTTTTAATAACAACCCAATCATACAGAAGTATCGAACAACTTATTTAGTGGAATAGTTGTACTTTTTCTTACAAATATTTTTGCTGTGTTAATAAACTAAAAATTGATGTTAATTATGCTATAATATATTGGTAAATTATCCAGTAAAATCATACGTAATATTTCTCTTTATTAAGGACCATATAACTTTTTTATTTACTAACTAACTTATAATTATTACAATAAGACTTTTACAACCATCGGTTCAGTGGATAACAAGTTTTCCTAATCGTGGTGCTACGTTGAAGTTATAAATTAAGCATTTTATAAAGACAGTTCACAATATTAAAAGAAGAGAAAAGAAAAAATAAATTAGCTTGCGCCCTGCTTACCTTATCATTTACAAATTTCATACAGTTGTTCTTATAAAACTTGCATGTATATTTTATATAAATAGTCATATGTAGAGTGATAGCTTCATTAAAAAGTAAAAAGTAAGATTACTTTTTTGCAGTTCTATGAGATAATTTAAAGCTAATTTTATAGGATATTAAATATGGTACAATAATGGTGACTATTTAACTTAGGAGTACAGATTTAAGATCATTATTTTTTTCTTAGAGCATCTGGCTAATGAGTTTAGTATATATGAAAACTAGCGATGTACTTTATTATTGAGTAAACAATATATTTATTTATATTATCTTGGAAAAGTATATAAAAAAAATTTTAAATTCCATTCTAGAATTAATTAAAAAGCGCTTATCTTACAATTTAAAAGTGATTTTTCTAGGCTTGCAATAGTGTCGTGCCCGAGTTTTCTTAATTTTTCTTTCTATTTTTAAAGTTGTATTAATTACTGAAAGTGACCAACACAATTTATAAATTTTAATTATATGAAGAAGAGTCCAAATGTAGCGATAATACTAGAGACCAGTCAATTTTACAGCATACGAATAACGCGTTATGCACTGTGAAACAAATACCAAAAATTTAGTCGTTAAAACTCAATTCACAGAGTGAAGTTTCCAAATTAGGTTGTTAAGAAGCAACTTATTGTTTGTAGTTTGTTATGCCCAAGTAATTTAACTTTTAGAGTGTATTAAATTGAATATTTTTTATCTTTGTTCTGATTTAAATAAAAATTAAAGGTAATGAAACATATGACTGTCCTTTTTTTTTATTTGAGAAAAATGAATACTGTATTAGGAGTACGTAAAGGAATATAAGTTATTTAATATTTTGTTCTTTTATTTGCTTTTAGCCTTTACCAGATTACTAATACTGCACTTATAGCAATAAATCATCGCTTTTTTCAAATTTCAAATTTTAAAATGCGTTAATGGAGTTTAACAAAGATGTACCTGTAATTTATCGGTCGTACTTAGATCATATTTGCTTAAAATTGGTTTGTGGGTTCGATTCACTATTGACTTTGAAGAAACCTTCTAAACAAGTAACTACTACCGTTAAAACAAGCAAACTACGTGACGCTTTGAGCTTTTGACTTGTAGTTAAATTTAATGTCCCAGCGTGTTTAGTAGCTTGAAAGGCTTCGTGTCATGCTCTTCGAGCTGCTAAGAAGTGTTAAGAGTTTCGATGTACCTATGTGGAAATAGGGCTGATTTTAACATTCAAAAATATATTAAATAACTAAAATCAAAAGTAAAAGTAAAATGAACACCCTCTCGTAATTAATTAAGTTAATTTAAATAATTATATCAAAGTATAGAAGATGTAGCAAGTTAACTAATCTTAAAAAATTCTAGTTCTAATGATATGATATGTGAAAACGTCAATAAAATTCAATACGTGAAAAAGTCCAAATTTTTAAGTGTACTTTGCATAATTTTTGTTAGCTTTTTTGCTTGCATATATTAAGAAACTAATTTTAATCTTTTAGATAAATGCTCGTGAGGTCAAAAAAGATAATCGCATCGTACACTGTTGAATGCTCGGTGCAGCTATCTATTTTATTTTCATTGGGGGTTTTTTAAGTATAGTCTTAATTAGATTACCTTTGTACCAAGTTTACAGATAAATGAATTCTTCCCCTGTGCTCTTTTAAAAAAGTTTTTTGATATGCTATTTTTTTCAAGGGGGACACGTTTTTAAGAGAACTTGACACCTTAGCTTAAAGCGTAAATGTCGATTATTGTAGAAAATTTAGTTAACACAAACTAGAAATATATATATTATATTTACAATGTTGTGCTTTTGTTTAAATAAGAGTATAAAAATACAATCGAAGATAGTTTTATATGTTAGATTTTAACATTTTTGTGGACCTTACCAGGCTGATCTTAAAACGTTTAACAATTTAATTTTTTAATTTAAAAAAAATTCCGATTGTTAAAGAAAAAAAAACTCTTATTTTTATTCCTTAGTATTTATGAAGCTAAAATACTTCTACTTAAACCCACATAGGTTCTAATGTACTGTTAAGTGCACAGAATCAAAGCAAGGGGTAACACATTAACACAGAATATAAGAGCACCTGACACATTTAAAACATAAAGCAATAACACAGAACACAAAAAGAAGAACATAAAAAGGAAAATAGGACATAAACACAAAATCAAATAGTATATAACCATAAAACACAGAAACACAAACACTCCAAATTTCACAGGTGTTTACAATGAGGGTAAGGCCAAGGGAGTGCCCATGTGATTATATAAGTTTGGTCGCGCACCGCTGTAATTTTTTTTTCTTTCTTTAGTGTGAAGGTGGGTTTGGTGCAATTGGGGAGTCTATAACAGGTTAAATACGTAAAACCATCATATCGAGCTCGAGAGTTGTCACAATCAAATTAGTTTAAAGTTTTTCTGGTACTTCGACTATCCTATATTATATTACTTTAATGTCTATAATATACTTTATAACATCTATATTATATATGTATTTAATAATTGCTCCTTTAGTAAACCAATCAAGTACCCGAGAACCAGTCAGTAAAATACAAGGGGAGAAATGATTACAAAATAATTTGACCCATTTTATTAATTGGATACCAACTAACCAAAGTAAAATTTAAAAAAAAATTATCTGCTCTAATTAAATTATTTAAACAAATATGGAAGTCTTCCGATCTTTTGAAAGTGTATTTGTAACTGTCTTTTGTATAGTACTTTCGTTAAAACTATGGCACTTCTTAAATAGTAGAGAGAGAATAGGGGAAAGTCAAAATCTTAAATAAATTGCTTCGCACAACACCTGATTGTTCATTAGTCTCCGACATGCGCGTAATCACAATTACTATATATCTGTGCTTTTTGCATTCAGACATTTCACCTTGAATCCTTTTAACCCCTACCTTTACGGTCATGGCCTTCTTAATCATTCATTATTACACTACACATTTAATTTATAACTCTAATTGGTCACTAACGCTTAAGCTTTCATTGGTCGACAAAGGGTTAAATACAAATTTAAAACCGGCCAATAAAGCATAATTTTTAAAACATGTCATATTTTATTATATACACTACATCATCTTACTAAAAAAAAAATTAAACATAACATATATATCTCTATTTGACCTCTTATATTTTATACTCTTTTATCGTATACCTTTATACAAATTTTGATAAAGGCAGGAGACCCTTAAAAGCAAAAAATTCCGTGGTAGATACTGGTTATTTTATATTTCTATAGTTATACAGTTAGATATATATAAAATACGTAATATAATAATTTATTTAGACAGAGCTTCTTGCTTTGAGTATGGGGTTATTTCAGTAAGGCCATGGGCTCTAACCTTGTACATGTTAAACATAATCTGTTTCATTAATTAGCCATAGTCTAAAATAATTCCTTCCCTTGGTGTACCGCAATAACAGGCTCCCTCTTAAGAGGCTGAGCTTGAGGGCAAGGAACTTTTGCTGCAAAAACAGCTATTATAATAGTTATTATAACCTTTTTACCCATTGAATACTACAAGTAGGCTTTGGAAAGATAAATAACTCACTTAATGTGTGTTTCTTTTAAAAATTGGAGCAAAATGCTCATCAGATCACCTTCCTCATGAAATAAACTGAAAAACAGCAAAAAAAAATTAAAGCTTTTACTCCTGCAATAGTTTAGTTTTGTGCAGTAACGCCCAAAAACCAACCTCCGGGAAAATTGCTAAAAGTACATATTCGCGGTTTTAAAAGATCGAGCTGCCAGCCATGCTTTTCCCGCTAACCTTATTTATAAATATCATTATTATTTATATTTCTAAGGTTTTTGGTGAAGAATAGTTAGTTTTTTTTTAAAAAAATAAATCATATCAAAGCATTTTAAGGTTGCCCTTAAAAAACTAACGGCACTCAATTCTTATTTACATTTCATGCGTCCTACGAGATGCTTTGTTATATTCTTTTATTCTCTCTCTACCTTTTTGAAGCATATAAAGCTTATCGACCTGTTATTAACATTGCTTATTGGTAAGAAATAATACAAAAGTTTTTATGTTAAAAGCATTCTCTATTTTATATAGCTCTTCTTGCGGTTACGAAAAGCTGTTTCAACAGGAAATTGATTAAACATTAATTTTATATTCTACTTTTTTTTAAAAAAAATCTTTTTAAGTCATTCTTTATGACTTTACAGGTTAAACAAGTCATAAACCAACAGCTACCGGGAGTGGAAGTGTACGGGTACAAGCAGCTACCATCTCAACCAATTTTAAACTTATTAAAGCAAGTTTCATGTGAAATACATCTTTTGTTTACTACTAAAAAAAATTATGATTTTATAATAGTTTTATAAATGTTTTGCAAGTTTGTGCAATTGTGGTTATCCTTGTGGGCGACAGAATAAATTATTTTAGGCCCCCACCCTCTTGGTTGTCCTCCTTGCAAAAAAATAAACTGCTTTCATGTCTATGCATTTGGACAATTGGTTAATAAAATTTGTCATCCCATAAAATTTTAAGTAAGTGGCTGTGTAGGGAATTTGATTGTTTCGCAATTACTTGCTACGGGTGCTTTTGAGATCTCTATTAAAGGTGCTTTTTTATTGTTTATAATAGTTCATATGTTAGGCATATGCTATACAGATAAAATGATATGGTCGAAGCTTGAAAAGGGTAGGCTTCCTGCTACTCCCGAAGAGCTAATCTCATTAATAAAAAGTTTTTTATAAAAAGTTAACAAAAAACACGTGGCCTTAATGTTTAATTTTAACATCTCAAAGAAAACTTTCGATAATCATTTATGTCTGTATTGAATTTTTTAAGGTAATCTTATTTAAAGAAAATTTTTCCTGCGCCGACCAACAATCTACCAATATACTAAAGTTTCTATAGTTCAGCTTAATTCTGATTAATTAAGATTTAACCACAACTAATGTAATAAAGCTCCAAAAATTTTTTATTTGCATATTTTTTTTATTAATTGTTTCGATCAAGATAAATAAAAGTCGCTATGCACGGATTGCTGAGTGACACTCAAATAAAAAGTTTTAAATGCCTTTAACTAACTTATTTCTTTGCAAGCTGATACTTTTTTTTCTTTATTTTTTTAGGTATCTTCTTTAGTCGTCGCTCTCTGTTAATCTCTCTGATCATTTTCTTACGTTCCTTAGAAAACAATTAAGATTCGAATCTTAAAACGACCAAAAAAAAACCTTATTCGCTATTCTGTCTTTGCTTATAATATTAGCAGCACCACATTCTCCATTTCCTCTCAAAGAATTTTCTTCGTCGGTGGAGAGGCTGCTATTTCCTTCTTCCGAGCAGCTGGATTTATTAATACTGTTTTCTGCTTCAGTGTTTGTAGTGCAAGCAGGAGCAATATCCTAACAAAGCTAATTATAAGCTGATTGTAAGCAGCATCTTATTTCAACCTCCTCTGCGCCAGTCAAGTCAGCCTTTAAACCAAGCACTTTGTGATACATAACATCCGTTTCTTCTCCTCTTAAAATTTTAAAAACATCTTCCTCGAAGTTATAAGCAGTGTCCAGCGTTCGAGGTATGTAGGATTTCTTAAAAACTGAAATGAAATCACATACAAAACGCACACAACATATGCAGCCCAAACACCTTCTTCATCAACTTTATCTTCCTCTTTTAAACACGTGTCCACAAAAAGTGTGCTTTGCAACTATTAAAGCAAAAATATTACTTTACAGTAAATTTGCGTAAAAGCGAAAGACTAACGCTGTCTAAATACGCGTCGATCTGCGCGTCGTTAAGAGAAATGTCAGTTATGAAATCAAAGAGCTTACGCATGGGCAATACTCCAACGTTGCGCTTCCGAAAAAAATCTACCAGCTCAGCCAAATCACGCGTTATTAAAAAATTTAAAAAAAGTAAAATAGAAACACAAAAGGACCAGTTATATTAGCGCAGTCCACCCGTAGAAATTCTAACGCACGTGGGTGGTCGTGCTCGACAGCCTGCGAAACGTCAATGAAGTACAGCATTTTATTCCAATACCTACCACAAGCGCGTGAGCTCGATATACAGCAAAGTGATAATTCTCCGTGCTTACAGTAAATTATATTCACTTAAATCACCGTGAACTAAACGGCATTCCGTATACAGCCTCCGCATATCCTGCGCGGTCAAAGAGGTGGTGAGCGGCTATGGGATTCGAGCTAAAAGTTATTATTCAATAAGACTTTAACGCACTGGTAGTACAATTCACAAGCGCGATCATCAGTAATATTGGCATCTTTTAAGCGAGGAGCAGCTCTATTCAAGAAAGAACTTGATTAATATTTAGGTCTCCCTGCGGACAACAGAACAATAACCTCCCGTCACTGCCTACTAATGACATAACTAGTACGTGCTGCCTTAATTCCACGGGCGTTGGCGACGGAATCCCTGATTTTTGCAAGCGTAAGTAGTTACGTAACTCCTTTTCTGCCCATAACTTCACCTAATAATAGTAAAAAGCAATCCAAACGACTAAAGTTAGAAAGTCAACTGTGGGCAGAAAATAAAGGAGGCACAACAAGTTTTCTAGGATTTCCTGAGGTATGACCATTTCTAAATCTAAATTCACCATCTATGTAACGATTTCTATCTTTAAAAATAAGAATGGAAGTCTTATAAATCTAATTTAAGTATAAATAAAAGCCACGAAATACTACAAAAAGGAAAGAATGGAAACCTTTACAGCGAACTCTTGTTTGTCATTTTTAGCGTAATAAACGTTAGCTTCTTTGCCAGTACTCAAACAACCGTTGATTTCAGAAAAAAGCCCTCTAGACAACAGTTTAAATAATATGAGGCGAGTGCGCCCATCTAAAACTTGCTCTGTGGTTGCTCTTAAGGACTTATCAGAATTCCTGGCGCTAAAAATAATTATAAAATCGATAAAATATAGAAAAGTAAGTAGTTGTCTCGAAAGTTATACGATTGGTTAAGAAGCTTATGTCTTGCCGCATTAATGCTACTGCTAGCTTGTAAACTTGACAGGTTAGCAAGTTGATCTAAATAAAAAAGGTCGGGTTAAATAAAAATAACGTAAGTTTTATAATTAATTTAGATATATTACGGATATTCATATATCTATAGTATTTCTGAATAGCAGAAGTAACGGGTTGGAGTTGAACTTTGGCCTTATTGCTTACTTTTTTGCTAGGAATAACGCTGAAATCTTAACCAAAATATTAATATTAAGCCAAAAAATAAAAACTATACATTTTTAAACCATCAGCTAAGTAGAAATCACTCTGAAAATCATAAACATCGTCGTCGGAAACCGAAAAATTCCTTAAAACATCGTCCATTTCATTAATGAGAGAAAATTAATCCTATTTAAGCTCAGAAGCTCCATAGCAGTCTTTATAAATTCCTATTGGTTGCTTTATAGCACATGAGTTTTCTCAAGTTTACTTTGCTATAGGGAGGCATTTTTGCTTTATTTATAGCTAAAATTATTAATTTTCTTTGCTTAAAGTATGTTTTGTAAGTTGAGTCATCAGGAAAAACAACTGGAGCATGTTCTTTTTGGCACGGATTATAACATAAAAAAAAGAGAGAGAAATAAGCCTTTTTTATTTGAAATTGACAAAGTCGGCTCGGACCTACTAGCTGAACATACTGACTGCAAAGTTAAAGAGAGTGTAGATGTAAATGATTTAAATAATTATTCAAAGAAGCGCGCACCAGCTTGGCATGATGAGGACGATGAAAACGTTACTGTTTCTCTTACTTCTCAAGATAGGTACTGAAGTCGACTGTTTATTATATCCTACTTTGGAGTAAAAAGTCATACTTTTAAGGTTGCTAAAACTAAAAAAAAATGAACTGGAAACAAAGATTAGTGGACCAGAATTTATTAAAAGACTTCGCAAACGTTTTAAAAGTTCAAACAAGAACAATAAATGGAGTAAAAATGTGGAAGAAGGTTTTATTTAATTCAATTGTTCACTCTTAATAGTACTATTAAGTTACGCTGATATTTTTTTTAATATAAAAATAAATAGCGGATGCTGCTTCTATCTTAACTTGGGCTGGTGCACTACTTGAACATAAAACCAAAAAGATTGCGGCTAATATTCTTGAAGTCAGCAGGGTAAAAGATGGTAACGTTCAAGAAAGAAGTCAAGCAGTTATTCAAGTTAACTTCATATATCCTATTTTTGCTGCTTTATAATTATATTGGTCTTTGATTTAGGCTTTGCAGTTTCATCCAAGCTCTCAGTTATTAATGACAGCTGGCCTGGATAAAACCATACGGCTGTATAACGTCGATGGAAGAGTTAACGAACTGATTCAAAAAATGCATTTTAACAACTTTCCCATATATTCCTGCGGGTTTAGGTTCTTTCCTTACTCATGGCATTATTTTTGGTTTTAATCTACTTTATAATTTTTCCTAGCTGGGATGGCTCTAAGCTTTTTTGCTCAGGTAGAAGAAAGTTTTTTTATGTCTATGATCTTGGTCAGCAGAGAGCAGTCTGCGTTCCTGGCCTGCAAGGCAGAAAAGAAAAGTCGTTAAAGTCTCTTTTTGTCTGCCCTGTCTCCAAAAATCTTGTGTTTCTGGGCGCATCAGGTAGATTTCTTTTGAATTGAAACCTGTTCCCTTGAACGCTTTGCTTTTTTAGGTAACTTGTTACTGGTTGATGCAAACTCCATGAGATTAATTCAAACTTTAAAAATGAATGGCACTGTTACATCTCTATCCTTAAGCAAGGACGGCTCTTATATGTACTCATTTGGAGGTCCGCTATTACGCGCAGAGGCCTACGGCTATGGTATTTATCGGCGTCTTGATCGTTATAGGGGACGGCGAGGTTTACGTCTGGGACCTTTCCCGTCGAGTTTGCATCCACAAATTTAGGGATGAAGGTTGTTTGAGTGGAACAGCAGTGGCAAACAGTGGAAGATTTATCGCGTGCGGCTCAAGATCGGGCATCGTCAACATCTACGACAGTGCTGCTTGCATGAAGACGGCAACTCCGAAGCCGTTGAAGTCTGTGTTGGTGCGCCTTTAAAATCTCCTCTATTTTATTTGATTCGGTTTTATAAATTTTTTGTTTTAAGAACTTAACAACCCGAACGGATATCCTTGCCTTCAACCACGACTCACAAATCCTGCTTATGGCTAGTAGAGCTCAACGGGATCACCTGAAGCTGGTAAGTCACCCAATTTTTTCTCAGCCGTTTTTTAGAATTTGATTGTTAAAAGCTGCATACGGGCTCCTTAAGCGTGTTTTCTAATTGGCCCACTGCATCAACACCTTTACGCCACGTGCATGCCTCCTGTTTTTCCCCCAACAGCGGGTACTTGGCTATAGGAAACGATCGAGGACATGCACTGTTGTACCGCCTGAGCCACTACGACGTCAGCTAGGCCGGCGCCTCCATTCATATTAGTGTACACTGAGCCACTTAGAAAAAGGGATTGTTTCTTCTCTGCCGATCGAGCTTTTAGGAAAGCACTTTTTTATTCTTTTGAAGTGCGTCGATGGTAATAAACTATATACACTCGAATATATGCACTATTCTTGGAGAAAACCCGTAGTATTGTCAATTGAAAACAGTAAACGCTCGCGTAGTTTTTCTAAGCTGGGGTACTCAGGCAGGTTGAGGCGGTTGAAACTGTGCAAAATGCAGCAGTATTATAAAAGTAACAATAGGCGGAAGGGTGTCGCATACCACGTGTGGGCACGGCACAAACCGTCATTAGTGGCCGCTCGCTCCAAGCAAAACCTTTGAGGCCCGTTATTGCCTGCAAGTCGGCTAAGGTGAGTAACATAGCCTTCATTTCTAATGATAATCAAAAGACCGTGAAGCTCCCTAAAGCCATTCACTGGCATGCGTGAGGTTCCAGTTACAAACTGCAGCAGTCTGGCCCGCATCTCGTTATCAAAGTCCTCGACCACCTGCGTTGTGACTCGTTAGTTTTAATCTTTTATAAATTGTTGTTTAGGGTTACTTACGCTCCAAAACCAAAGAACTACTTGGTGCTCGCTGCTGTAGCCGCCACGATACTCCGTATATCGCTTCCAGTCCTCAACATCGATTTCCGCAATCCCTCCGAGCAACAACTTATTAGTGCGGTGGAAATTACTGTGTCGTTTAAACGTGGAGCAACGGACTAACCTCAAGCTCTTTCTCGTCAAAAATCTGTACAAGATAGCGCGGGACTATGGAAAAGAAACCACAGTTAAAAGCGTCCATCTGTTCTTGTACTGAATTGTGAAACCTCCATTCAACAAGCAATCTGGGTAGCAGGCTATTGAGGGTAATTCTTATATCATAGAGTCGCTCACTTACTCAACGTATTTTTTTTTATTGTCTTCCGTTACTAAAATATTGGCTCCGTTTTCTACCAATTCAACTTCTTTGAGTTCTCCAAACTTCTCCTGCGTGACTGTAAATGTCAAGTCGAGCATATGCGTGACATCGTTTTCCAGAATCCATTTGAGACTGCATGAACGCGATTGGTTATCGACAATAGATCTAGTCATTACTGATGTGTTACCTATTAAAGTACTCTATGTCGACGGTTTGTATGTCCTCGAAACGCACCGGCTTGTCTATAATTTTTCGGTAAAAGGGAGTGGTAAAATAAGCTAGTTGCAATAGAACTAAGTTATTATATTTTTAAAATTGTAACTTAATAAAACTGGACCATCAATAAGTCTGCCATGAAAAACAGCCATTCCCACGACCCGCCCAATAAACTTAAAGTATTGCAAATGGTCAGGATTTATTCCTGAACCTGGGCTGATCTGCAGCGTATAAATATCGCTAGCGGCGTATTCAAAGAGGCCGTAGTACGGCGTAAACATGCAGTGAGAAAGCAAGTAGAACCACTCCCTCGAGAGGCCGCCTTTGTTAAAGAAAGGCTTTTTAGCAAGGAAGCATACTTTAGTGGGCACATGCGCACCGTAATCAAGGCCTTCTTCGCCAACAAATTTAACCCACAATCGCCTCCGGAGTTGGTCGGGAGTGTATTTGGAGATTTCCTGAAATGACGACTCAAACAAGTTGTCTCGGGAAACTTGAATTTCCAATTTGCCTTCGCGCTGTCGCAGTTTCGACCGAAAATACGCCAATTTCTTTTTGTAGTCGCGGTCATACCTGTAAGAAAGCACTGCCGGCCTAGCTCGCCCCACGAAATATAGTGCAGATACTTTGGAGCGGGAAGTGTCACGTTTTTAAACATACGCCGCGGGTCGTCCCACTGTGTTACACGCGATATATGATCCACATAATACACCCTATTGTCGTGGGTCCTTCGCTCCTAGTAATAAGAAGCAAAGTTAAGAGCAGTGATGGGCAAAGCGTCCGGAAAATTACTTCCCAGCCGGCAGGAAGTGGTTCACAGTTATTCGAAGGCTCCTTGGCAGAGTTTTCAAGGGCTCTATCCATGCATACTTGGTTCGGCTTAGGTATCAGTCGGGGGTCTCTCCACGTAGTTTTTCTGGTGTTGTGGTCCACAAAGAATACGCGCCCTTCCGGGGTGGTCCGCATGTCCCACCCTTCCGGCAGTTTATCGCACGTCCTGTTCTCGAGAAAGAAATGGACTGTTTGGTGCAGACAATAGAAATAAGCTTAACGGACGAGCTGGCAGTGTTGCTTGGCCCGGCGGGCGGAGATTTGCAGGCGCCCGCTTGTTGATGGGGATTTTCTCCAGTAGCCGTAGCGAGAGGAGGTGATGCAAGGTGATAAGACTTGCGTCGTGAGAAATTTCGGAAGTCATTCTGCTGTTCCAGCATCCCGTTGAGAAGAATGTTGTTTACGGTTTCTCTGGTTGGTCTCTGTAGGAAATGCAAAGGTACGAGCCGGCCAATAGTCGGCGTATCCTACATATTAACCACCCAGGCGACCAATCGGGTGTTGTGGTGAACGTAATAAGTTCGGTTGCTTGAATCTTTGCGTTCTTCCCTGGAAGTGTACTATAAAAAACAGCTGCCGCTCAAAGCGTGGGAAAATTTACCAGCCAGCGGGAAGAGATTCCAAAACATCTTCGCTGTGGTACGTGCTTGGGCGAGCAGGCTCCTGTTGGTAGTTTTGCGGCAAAGGAAAGCTTCCTTTGAACAATAAGTGAAATTTCAAAAAAAATTTACAAGTTTACTCAAAACCTTCCTCTATGAAAAATAACTTGACAAACAAGCTTCCAGCTACTTTGTTTTTAGAAGAACGAGATTTTAACGTATACTGTTCGGCACGAGCTTCGCAGTTGTGCTCTAAAAACAAAAGATTGAAATTTTAAGTAGAACTTAAAGTTTTTATAATAACGCGTTAAATGCATTCATACCTACTATTTGAGACAAGGGTACATCTACCGAACCAAGTAGTTCGTCTCGAGTCATCCAGTTGCGGTTGTAGATCCGAAATCGAATTATATCGCTAGAACTCACTCTGCTGTAAAAATTAGAGCCTTTAATTTTCTCTTAAAAAAATTACACCATTATTGTCTAAATAAAGGCTTTACCTCAAATTATTTATACTAAAAAATATAAAGATGCTGTAGCTAAAGTAATAGTGCTCCTTATTATATAATTGACTGGTTAGAAAAAGAATGCATGCTTACAAAAGGAACTCTTCTCCCCAGTAAGGAGAAGTACTCTTTTTTTTAGTAGAAGTTGATTTAACTTGAAGACCGTCATTGATCCAGAGTTTGCAGTAAGAGTTAACCTGACCAAATAAGCTAAAAATTTATTATAAATTTATTTTTTTTGTAAAAAATTAATTAAAAAGGGCTAACTGTGAAAAAAAACATAGTACGTTAACAAAAAAAGGTTATATTGTCAAAGCTATACTCTTTCTTAGGCAAATCACTGGCTTGTAATACCAAGACACGAAGTATCCTGTTATCATCTGCCTCTTTCATAGTGTTGTGATAGTTAACATGCTTATAACTATAAAATCAAGGACCCCTTTTTCAAATTTTTTAAGAATAAATAAGTAACAAAAAGACAAAATTTTTTATTATATTTTGACTGTTCCAATACAAACTTAGCGTTTCTTTTGAATAGTCGCCCTATTTTTTTAAAAAAAACGGTAGTGTAACTTTTCCATCAAGGGAGTCGTTACTTAAGGTTTTGGGGGGTGCTACGTTAATTCTCCTGCCATTTGACCTCCCGTGCAATATTAAAATAATTATACCAACGCCAAAAAACGAAATTAAAATCCATCGGTATATATATAACAATGATATTTTTATATATAAATTTTACATCCCATTATAGTATTGTAAAAGGTCAAATAAATCAAAGAGATAGAATAAGAGGTTAAAAGTGCAATAACGAGGTAACAAGTATTGTATATCTATATAGAGCTTGGGATAAAAAATAATTGTCTACTCTTCTAAATTTATAGTACTTCACAAGCAATAACGCGTTAATAAACTATAAACCACCAAAAGGGGCTCGTAAAAAGCCCTTTATTCCAAAGGTAAGAAATATATTTAACAACATATCATAAAAACTGACAAAAATAATTTAAAAATATTCTTATTTTAATATAAAGATAAAAAAATTTATTTGTTTAAGTAAACTATTTTTAAAGCAAACTGGATGTGTGAATTAAAAATTTAATCTTTTTCTTAACCTTTTATAGTTTATTTGAATTTTTAACGATTAATATTATTATTGACCTTTTATTGTGATAAAATGCAAAATCCATTTGAATTTCTTCTAGAAGACGGCAAACTTTTAATTCGTCAACTTTAGAACGTCTACCACATTCACTTTAGAACTTGCACTTATTTCTCAGAGTGTAAAGAACAACGCACTAATAAGAAAACTCTTTTTGATAAAAATATTAGTAATTAGGAGGGATTTAACGTTTTTTGTATTACACTTCTATCGAAAACTTTTAGATTGTTCTTAGAAAGTTATTAAGTAAATTTATTGGTTATCTATACCTGATTTTAAAAGTCGCAATTGCTTATATTTATACAAAAGCTCTTATTGGTTCAACACTATTTAGAAAATTAACTTGAATATGCCGACAAGCTCACATAATAGATTTTGATTTGTTTTACTTATGTCATTGCACTATTTTACACACTACTTTTTATAGCAAGGTTGCCTTTCATTCGAGTTGATAATAAGTTATTATTACGTGGCACAAGAAACTTAAAACTCGACGGATTTTCTACAGTAAGCTGAAATAACATTCTTTAAAAGTATTTTATTTTCAGTTAAATTGTTCTATGTTAATATATCACATTTCTGATGCGCGCGGACAAGTAGAAAAAATTACATACCTACACCTTCAAAACTCTTTTTTATAAAAATACAAGAGGGCTCTGCATATCTCTGCCCTATTAGAAATCTTAAACAAAGGTTTAACATCCAATTAGTTTTTGAAAGTTTGGAGAACATAAATCACTTAATGAAAATAATACAACAACTACAATTTTATAAACTTTACTAATTGGCGTTCATTGAAGTTGGTAGGCTTTCACGCAGCATTAGACATGCTTGCTATAGGAGACTACTAAACTTACTTTTAATCTCCACTATTAATGGAAAAATATGTTACATATATACCTACTTCGAGCAAAATGACGATGTATTAACCATCTTTATTAGCTCTAACCCTTATGCTCGGCATTTAGATATATGTAGCCCTCTCCGAATATGGGTTTAAGGTTGTTCTCTAAACTTTTAAGCCTTCGTACTTGGCTAAAAGTGCAGAAGCACCAATAATATCTTAGGAAAGGTCAAAAAGCATTTAAGATTACTGATAAAGCCCATTCTTCGAATTGAGCTTTTTAAATCCAAATTATCAAGTTCACAATAACTACATAGTCAAGTATGTTCAAGCTAGTTGGAAAGAAAAAGGGAAAAGCAAGCACAAATGGCAACTTTTTGCATTAACTGCTGGGTCATATACTTCATAAACCAATTTTAAAAAATTATAAACTTTTATAAAAAAAATGTCATGTATTCGTGCACTATAAGCCCGAAATATGGTTTTATACCAAAAACTAATGTTTCGATAAGTAAAGCCCACAGAATAAGCAAATATCAATAGCAGTTGTCTACTATAATATTACTAATTAAGGAGACAAAAATTATTGTTCTAAATTGTATTAAGTGTGGAAAGTAAAAAATATGTAATATTTATAACTATGGTTATTAATTAAATCTTCAAAAATAAATATAATATTATTATAATTGTAAAACTACGAGTAGATTCTACAGAAGTCTAAGAATTATGTGTTTTCAACTAGTATGAAAAAGTAAATAGAAAGTTAAACTATTAATAAACTCCTTGTTATCGCTTTGCATTTAACCTGTTTATCATCGTAAAATGATTACCCTTCTCTGATACCATATACACTCATTATGCACTTTGTTACTATTGAGAGCTATTCAGAGTATAGATTAGCGATGTATAATGAGTATGAAAGGTTTTTGCGCATGAATATTTCTACTAAGCTGAACGAGTAGAGTATATATATAGAATAAACATATTACAGTATACATACCCAGTAAGCGCATAGATAAATTATAATCTATCTAATTATGGGGGAGTAAAATTAAAGGTTACTCTCGCCCCAGTTCTCTACGGAGGCGTTCGTGTCCGAGTGGTTAAGGAGATCGACTAGAAATCGATTGGGCTCTGCCCGCGTAGGTTCGAGTCCTGCCGAACGCGACTTCACTTTTTTTCTCTTTTCACTTTTGGCTTTGAGCTGATCTAAGATATTTTTAGTAACAGACCTTCCTATAATTTAAATTTGTTTATTATTTTTTGTCTATTAACTTTTTTAATTCTTTTTATATATTACTATTTTAGACGCCATATAGTTTTTTTTCGGTTATTAGGCTTTTAATAAATGCAATATGAAAACCTGCGTAGTATTAAGAAATTTGCTGAGACGTATAATAAATTATAACTAGACGTTCAAGTAACTCCAACAAAGTTTCTTATGGCTCAATCTGATAAGGAATCTGTCCTTCTTATCCTTATTAGGTTCTTTACATAAATACCAATATAACTTTTATACCCACTTCCTTCTTTAGACATGGAACCACTTTGTATAACATTGAAAATCGCTTCACGGGTCTACGTTTCTGTAAAGTAGCTGCGTTTTTCCAAGACTTACAATTTAGTAAAATATAGGCTGGCAGGATGTCGAGTTGACGCCGGAAGGAATTATAGGAACTGAAAAGGCAGCAAAAGCTTTAAAACACTACCTGGGCGAGAGAGAATTGGATGTTGCCTTTTCCTCGAAACTTTTACGCAGTCAAGAAACCCTAATTATCCTCGCCAAAAAATTAAACTTGATAAATAAACCTATTTTTGTATTTTTATTACACTAACCCCCGTTCTTAATATATCCTCTTACTGGTGATAACGTTAGAAATCAGAGCATCTCAATGAGAGAAATTATGGTCTCTTAAATGGTCTTAGACGAAAAGAAGTTGCTAATATTTATGGCCTACAGCAAGTCGAATATTGGCGACGGTTTGTCGGTTATATAGTATAAATCAACGAATGTGCCTTATAAAATCTTAATAATTTTAAAAAAAAGCATATATAATTATCTGCTTTTATTATTTGTACGGAAGAGGATATGACGTTACTCCTCCGGGCGGTGAATCCTTAAAGATGACAGCAGAAAGGGTTGTATCTTACTTTACAAGTACTGTAATGCCGTTTATTATTGAAGGAAAAGTATACTTTAAACTTTTCAGTTCGAGAAAAATTTTTAAATTCTTATAAGCACGTGCTAGTAGTGGCCCACGGGAATTCTCTCAGAGCCATTGTAATGCATCTTCTTCACTACTCTCCTTCGGAAATCCTCCAAACTGAAATTGGTTGGTGCGAGCCTTTAGTTGTTCGGTTCGTGACGGCCTGCAAGAAAACAACTCCTTCTATTGCTTCAATATCAATAATTGTAACCACCACCACCCCTTTAAAAACCTTTTTGCCTCCTTCAAGAAACGTTACTATAGAAAAAGTGTTAATTTGAATAAAAAGCATGTGCCTTTTAAATTTTTGATAAGTTTGTTATACTGGCTTCTACATTTTTTTCTTTTAATAATGTCCGAATTAAATAACAGCGTTATACTCCAAGTTGATGACAGTTTATTTTTAGGTAAACCCTCTGTGTTAAGGTTTACAACTTCAAACAGATCTAAGGGAAACGCTGGCATTTCTTAAAATTCAAATAACTACAAGATAATTATTATTCAACTCGAAAATTTAACTACTTGCTTTTTTCTTAAAAAAAAAGCAAAAGGTTTACTTTCTATGAAATCTTTCTGTTAAATTAAGCTTACATATTCTTGTAGACGATGGCCTTACAAAATCACTCTTTCCCCCTATTTTTATTTAGTGGATATGTTTTTTAACTAATTGTGATTTTTTGTAGTTCTCATTTAATTATTTCAACACTTACAAGGTTTCTTGATATTAACTAAATTTGGATCAGTGCTTATCGAACATATAAATCATTGAGATGAACAAAAATGTTTATCAAAGCATTCCACAATAATGAGACAGTCACGCGCAAATGGGCACTCTGCACAAACCATGAGCACCAGTAATTAACGGCAAGAGTTATAATGTAATTAATTGTGCTTAGATGGCTACTATACGCCACCGGGCTACAGCTGTATAAAGTAATCAACAGGATCGTTAGATAGTAAAGCTTAAGTCGGTTGCGTATTTATACAGGCAACTCTTTTACAAGAGAAAATTATGTACCTTGTTTTTTATTTCTGACTTTACTTTGCTAATGGTATTGTTGTGTAATGGCGCCACGAATTGCCTCAAAGTGATATAACAGCAAAGTTCGGGTTGTTTTCTATTCAATACAATAATATCCTTGGTCCTTGGCCCTTAAAAGATTAGTTGTTATCTGCCACTGATTAAACCATAGTTTAAGCAGTAATATTTGTTTTGTTTTAGGAAAACTAGAGGAGGTAAAAAACAGTCATTCTTCCGCAAAATGTAAAAAGTGGAATATTGCAGGTGAGTTTATCCAACACATATAAAGCAAGTAGGATTGGAAAAAGTAGTAAGTCTAATAGGGCTATTATAATCAGTCCTTTCAGAAGTGAGCTAGCTTTTCCTTACTTTGACGAAAAATCTCTGGTGAAAAAAAAACTGACGCGAAAGGAGATAAAAGTAGGCGATATAGTGGAAGGCACAAGGGTGTATTTTTCCTTCACCCTTCTGTCTTTCATAACAGTTACAATACATTCTCTTCGAAAGAGTACTTAGTGTTTACATCAAAGGGCATTTTAAATTAAGCATCAATAAGTTTCGAATTACTTCAACGTCATAATTACTCTGCTAAAATACCTGTTTAACTTAAAAAATTAATTTTAAAAATTCAAATTAATAGCCGTAATAAAACTTTTCTTAGTTTATAGCAATAAAAAAAAACTTACGCTGCTGCTGCAGTGACGAAGAAGCCTTAGATAAGGTTACTAAATCTTGAAGTACTGATATTTCTGATAAAGCGTAAAACATATGAAAATAGTTTTTTGAACCAATAAATATACACCCGCTTTGAAGTCCCGTACACTTTATGACCCTGACATTGTAAGGTAGTCTATGGATAGTAAGCGCTCACATTTAAATTCTTTGAAAGCTAAGGAGAGTTAAAATAGAAGAAACATAAAAGTAAAACTAACTAGATTAGCTTAATTTATTAATGGCAGCGCTGACCACGGGTACTTTTTAAGTTAAATTAGTAACTTACCAAGTTTGACATCAATGTCGACTAGAATTTAACTAGTTTTAGAGCCTTTCCTCCAATATTTTTAGTATTTGTTAATTTATTACTTTAGTAGCTATCGTTGTAATAAAAAAAACTTAGGGTGAGTTTAGATAAAAGAGACTGAGACCTTAGAACAGGCAAAGGGCTAAGGAATAACTAAGTCTAGCTGTGCGCAGGTGAGATAGAACTGAGTGGTGCTCCTTAGAAGAGTTTGTTTAAGTGCTAAAAAGCAAAGAAAATTGTAAATAACTTAGAAAACCATTGGTCGCAACTAGAATTAATCCGATTAAACATAATAAAGCTGAGTGCGCATGCAAAATCATAGTAATATACGCCTGGGGAAACCACTTTATTCTTTTCTGACTTCCTTAGACGCCTCATTTTTTATTATCAATTGACTTTCATAGATGCTCAGTAAGTCAAGAAAAGACAGTTTACTCTTGATTCTGGCGCAAGTAGGCGCCTGTAAATCTCCAGGAGGAAGTTCACGGCTATTCCGATTTTTTTTCTAGGATTGGAGTGCAATACGTGATTAGCCGTCAGCTCACCCACTGAATTACTAAGTTCCGAAGAGCTTTGACAGTTGACTTTTCGCCAAGCGCCTCTCTCTATGCCTCATATGTACTTTATTTATTAATGACAGTTCCTAGTGCTCGTACGTCTCATATAACAAGCGGTGTCCACATTTATATTGAGGCATCAGTAGTTTTACTATTGGCAGTTGTAATAATCTAATTTTTATGAAACCGAGAGACGAATGCCAACTACCGCAATGGAGCAAAATAAACAATATTTGAACGACCTTCGCCTAATTTGAAGCCGCGAAGCACATGGAGGTTCCGAAAAAGTTGACCTTTTTTTTACTGTACTAGATAAAACCCACATTAAATTAAAATCAATTTTTAGAATGTTTTTATATGTTACATAAATCCTTTACTTTTAGATTGTAATAAATTAGTTGAAATAATTGTCATTTTAAAGATTTTAATACGGCACTAAAAGGGAAAATATAACCAACTCCAAATTGTAATAAGCAGTTAGATGTAACTTTAGCTCCATTTAATACTACGCAAAGATGCTGCGACCTTTGTCCTGACTAATCCTGCTCTGCCTTAACACTTTGCTATAAGCTTGGTTTTAGTTGTGTGGCTTTTCACTTTAAGTTTAGGATAACAATTCTTATTAGGTCGAGAGCAAGTATATTTCTTCATTATTATTTTAATATTTTTAAGGTATGATGGTAGAGAGGGCTGCTCAGCAGGTACTGGGCCTTACTCTGTACGAAAAAGTTTCTACTTGCAAAGTAATTTATATTTAACCATTTTTTTAGCTGCTAAAATCTTTATCTCCTTCCTATAAAATATATAAATTTAAGCGGTTATAAAAAAATATATAGGTACTGGTCGTTGGTGCTGGTGGTATAGGTTGTGAAATTCTTAAAAATTTATCAACAACTGGTTTCAGAAACATTTTTTTGGTAAACTTTGCGTTAATAAACGTGTTTATCTATAAGATCAATTTTTATTTTGTATTGTTTTCTTGAGTTAGTTTAACAAACTTTAGGCCCTTTTTTTTACTAAAGATATCAAAAAAAAAATTTATAGATCACTTATTCTGACAAGCCATAAACTCTAGAGTCTTAAGGTGTTTATTTTTCTTTGAGTAAGGTTGACTTGGATACTGTAGATGTGAGTAATCTCAACAGACAATTTTTGTATCAACTACATCAAGTAGGAAAATCTAAAGCAGAGGTTTATTATAAGTTTAATTGCTTTTAAACAGATAGACTTTTTACTTAATTAACAAGGCTGCTGCAGATACCATAAGATCTTTCAATCCAAACATCCAGATTACCGGAAGCCACGCCGATATAAGAAGTTTTGAGTACAATGTTGAGTTTTTTGAAAAGTTTGATATAGTTTTCAACGCTCTTGATAACTTGAGTATTTATTTTAATTACAATTCTTATTGATAATCTTTCTTTTTTTAAACTTTCGATTGTTTATTAAAATTACTACTTAAAATCATAATTTTATGATAGCTTTACAGAGATTACTTAGTATTCTGCAAAAGTCGGCTTTTATTTTTGCTATGGCGCTTGTTAATAGAAATTTATTTATTTTACCCCCTTTAGGCGCTCGGATCCACGTCAACCGAATGTGCTTAGCAGCGAATCTCCCTCTCATTGAAAGCGGCACCACAGGCTACCTCGGCCAGACGACTGTTATCAAGCGGGTCGGCTTTTGTTACTTTTCTATAATAAATTCCTCCTGCCAGTGCTTCACTTTTTTTTTGCTGTCAGGGTTTGACTGAGTGCTTTGAGTGTACACCGAAGCCCGTTCCTAAGCGCTTTCCTGTATGCACTATACGTAGTACACCATCTTTGCCGATCCACTGCGTTGTTTGGGCGAGGCACCTCTTCAGGTCTTTGCGTTTACTTCGGCTTTAATCATTTTTTTTTTTTTAGTTGTTACGCTTGTTCTAGTCAGCTGTTTGGCCACGCAGATGACGAAAGCGCTGTTTCGCTTAGTGTGAACGCGCAGGAATTAAGATCCGCTGAGCATGATTTAGTTACTGATTTACCGAAATCTTTAAGGAAATGGGCTGTTTCTCTGAACTTTGATCCGTATAAAATTATGCACAAGGTATTTATCCCATTCGCAATTTAAGTTTTCTGGGGATTATTGAACCTTTGAAAGTTGTTCTCGGAGGACATACATACATTGCTCAGCATGGACACTCTCTGGCGAAACAGGAATCCCCCGCAACCCCTTAACTGCTACGCCCACGCCAAGACCGAGAAGGTGGTGAGTGATTCTTTCACTCGGAATCGTTTCTTTTCCGTTTCTGCAGCAAAGTCCAGTGTACGAAAATCCTCACTGTTTGCCGGATCAGAGTGTTTGGTCTGTGGATGAGTGCGTTGATCACTTTTGTCGAAGGTTTGCGTCGGAATAAAGTGGACGACAATTGCTTCATTTATATATCTTCTTAGTATAAAAGAGCTACGCGATCGCTGGGAAGGTCTAACCAATGATCTTACCGAACTTTTATGGGACAAAGATGATTCTTCTAGTAATATCAACTCTTCTAGTCTTCTTCACGTGCAACTTCACTGCTTAATTAATTATATCAACCTGCTAGTGATGCAATTTGTAACTGCCGCTGCAAATTTACGTGCTTATGCTTTTGGGATTCCCGCTAGCAATTTGTTTGAAATAAAAGGTTGTTTCTTTTTACTATAATTTTTTTAAATTTTCGAATTACCAATCTATTGACTTCTAGCCTTAGCAGGCAGCATCATTCCTGCAATAGCAACAACTAATGCGATCATTGCGGGTAAATGTTATAACCATAATTTTTTTTAATAAAAATCGTGTTAAATACTAAATTAGGGATTTGTGTGATCGAAGCGCTCCATATACTGAGTGGAGATTTCGACAAATGCCAAACTGTATGCAAATATATTAAATCCTTGTAGGGATAGTGCGGGGCTTGTTGCTTTATAGTGGATCCTTAGTTAATTGACTAGAAATTAATTAACAGACTTTTTTAAAAACGGAAAAGAATTCCAGAAACAGATTGCTTGTTCCAGAAAAGCTTGTACCGCCCAACCCGAAGTGCTACGCCTGCGCTGAACAGTTAAACTGATTGCGTAGGAAATTAATGCTTAACTTTTTTGGAATGCAAGTAGGCCAGAAGCGAAGCTCTTTGTAAATCTTAGCAAATTTACTTTAGAAGATCTGAGAAGCAAAATCTTAATTGGTAGCCTTGGGATGTTGGCTCCGGACGTGTGCATGGGGCCAAAGTTTAGGCCTTTTGATCTCCGCTCTCGCGCTTTTTAAGCTGTTATTATGCAGATTACTTCTCTCCAGTGAAGAGGAACATGCAGGGATCAACAAAGCAAAAACTCTTAAGGAGGTCGGGGTACGTCCAGGTTCCCTTCTAGAGGTCGAAGACTTTCTTCAAGTTAAGGATCTGTTTGACTTGGTGTACCGTTTGGCCTAAATTGCCCCCACAAGGACCACAAAATTCGACTTTTCGTGGCGGAGAAAGACACTTTCCAGGATCAGGATGGCTTTGAACTAGAAAGCAGGAGTATCGATTCAGAAGAAAATACTAGTAAACGGCCCTCCTCGGAAGTTCTAAAAAGAGATCTAGAGGAAATTGAGGAGAACCTTTTCAGTAAAAGGTTTAAAAAGAACTAGGAGGAACCTTTCTAGCAACACCATTTTAAGACTTTACTCTGAGATGCTTTTTTTTAAAAAAATGTAGTTTTTACAGTCACATGAGCCACAAATTTATTAGGATTAATATTTTTAAAGCTTTCGTTTTTGTTTTTTAATGACTACAATTTTAGTGTTGACTTAATATACATAAAAGAGTAACAGTAGATTTTTGAAGTATTTAATTGCTTGACTATTAAAAGATTTCCATAAGTAGAAAGTGTACCTCCTTTGGGTTTTTATAGTATTAATACTATATGTTTGAGGATTTCAGGTAACCATAAAAACGAAGGTGTAAAAAAGATTTAAAATTCATACTCGGGGCAGGCCCCGTTTGAAATTAATCGATAAGTCTGTCTTCCTAATCTTACTCTTTTTGAATGTCCCCGCCTTCTTATTAGTTATGCGAATCCTTGAATATTACAAAATTAGTGTGCAACAATATTTGCTTTGCTATTACTTTGCTTTCGAGTTTAATAAGTATTACTTTATGTAAAATTGAGAAACCTCTTCCGTCTCCATTTTTTCCCAGAACATAAATACTTCACTGCTGCTAAATGCGAGGTTTATGTAACCAAAAAGTTTCTTAAACAGTTGACTCAACAAAGTCAACCTCAGAATAATATCCCGTATTATCGTGTGGATAGAAAAAAAATACAATATTTATGTAAATACGTTTGAAATACTAGTGTAGTGCATCGAGATAGTTAATTTAGATAAAAAAAAAATACACGTGCCTTAGTTAAAATATTACTTGTTCTGAAAGATTTTGTTTTTATTTTTCTTATCTAATGGGAATAGCTGTTAAAAGACGATGTTCCTTGTTATAAAATATCTAAACACTAAATTTTTTGGCTGAAAAAATTTTATAACACAGGGCGTATCCATATTAAAAAATCTTTCAGAGTGAGAGAGGCAGGAACTGAGTACAAAAATTAAAAAAATTAATTTTATCGTCATATTTTCCCTTAATTAGTTTGTTAAAAAAAAAAAAAAATATTTAGCCGCGATAAAGCTATTCCGGTCTTACGCTGTAATAAGATATCGAAATGAAAGTCTATATATTTCTGTTCGCCAAGTTTTTTATTTTTACCAATTGTGAAGCAAGCACAAAAAATTAGTAAGAGGTTCTTAATTGTAACCAACTAGGAAGCGAATTTAAACTTCAGGATAGGAAGAACCTCTTGCTAACGCAGATTAGTTGGTAAAACCTTTTGTTTTAAGGGCAAAGATCCTAATATATATGCTAATTCCAGTGAGCGTTGGCTAACTTTCTTATAAATATTATAGTTGTGCATGTTTATGAAAACAACTTAAGCACTTTAAATCTACAATTTTTTTAGTTTAAAGACTATGCATTATAGAGTTAAACAGTAATTAATAAAAAAATTATCTTAGATATCTATATAATAGTTGCATTTTAAAACTTAGTGTACTGTTTACGGACAGTTACCGATTAAAAGCAGGGGCCTTTGAAGGCAGTAAGTAGTGGGTAGCGCATTCAAGTTCGTAATAACACTGTATAGAAAACAGTAAGCAAAATATAAGAAATTTCAAAGAAATTAAACACTCAATTGCTAAAGAGCGAACATGAGAGCTGAGTTTCGCACGTAGCTCTCTTTCTTGCCCCTTTGTGGCTAAGCCTCACACTTCCAATCTTTATACAAACTTTTAATACTTCTGCCATCATACAAGCTGTTGCTTTTCAGCATAGTCGCGAAGTTGGCTTGCGTTGTAGTACATACAGGTATACATTTGTTTCGTTAGTTTAACTTTAAGTAATTACTTTTCTTAGTGTTAAGTCTTTGTTATAGTTCTGCTCTTATTTACCTTTCTATATACCTCAAAAAATTTATAGGTGCAGGGTTTTGTCACCCTAGCAACGAATATCTTTATCGAAAGTGTTGTAAAAGTGCCTGTTTACTAGGCTGGAGATTAATTTTAGATAAGAATGCTCAAAGTAGTGAAGTGGTCAAAGAAGTTATCGCTTGCTTAGAGGTGAATAGAGAGGAGATCTGCCTTCTTATTTTCTATAAACTTTTGCAGTGCATCTAGTCTGAGCTTATTTTTTATAGGATACAAAATATTTAAATGCAGGGACTGGAAGCAACTTAAATATGAGCGGACACGTAGAATGCGATGCTAGTATAATGGAAGGTACATAAGTAGTTTTACTATTATTACTTTGTAACAAAAAGGTAAAAAAGAACCAACACTGAAAAATTATATGATATGTTTTATTTTTATCTATATACCCTTACAAAAATATTTTAACCATGCTTGTAATTAAGAAATAAACCTTAATAATGTTTCAGGCTGTTTTAATTTCTCTTTTTAATTGTTTTTTTCATATGCGTGGTTATCTTCGGTTCAACATTTTTAAAAAGCTTATCAGTCAATTTGATTCGTTTTTTCGTAATCTAGTAAACTATGTATAATTATATTTGTTAATACCTTTATTATATAATAATAAATGTATATATATATATATGTGTGTGTGTGCGTTTTCACTATTTTGCACCGACTTTTCACAAGGTAAAAGCGGGGCTTTTGGAGCTGTGGGCTGTTTGCCTGGTGTGAAAAATCCAATTTGCGTTGCATACGACTTGATGCTAGAAGAGAGAAAGGGGCTATTAAACTTTGGCCTGATACCGCCAATGTCCATAGCTGAATCTTTGATTTAGATTGTAGTATTCTACAGCGACTTACAATACACTTCTAGTATGTTTGTTAAATTCTTATTAAAATTTTTAGGCTTTTATGCGGGAGAGCTGCATGGATGTATGCACGGGATAGGGGATTAGGCGAGCCTTGCAACGAAGAGGAGCTTGGGGAATATCTTGTAACCGGTCCGTTTGCAGTATAAGCTTATAAGATTTCGAAAAACTAGTCTTGTATTTACCCGTAGAAACGTCGAGGTTGAAACATAAAAATTGCCTCTCTCTACTTTCTGGCAAAGCAGGTTCCTATAAACATCTCTTTTATAATTTAAGCACCACCAACATTACCTCCATGGCGTGTGTTTACCGCAAATCTACACATCTTGGTAATGTTGGATATCGAGAGAAGTATCAGGGCCTTTATTTCTAGAGACAAATTTTAAAAGGCAGTTCTTCTTCTGACAAGCACCAAATTAAAAACCTTATACTTAACTCCTTGACATAACGAAGCAGATTGTCCATTGGAGGAACCAGACAGTCTCGCAGAGGTTCCTAGATTCAAAAGGTATAACTCTTACAATAACGGAAGCTGCGATTTATGGGCAGAACGAGCTCGATGTCATGATGGACACCGTCGGCGTGATATGCCGAGACAGGAACGGAAACGTCTCTGCGGGGGTTTCGTCCGGGGGCATTCTCCTAAAGAGGCCGGGCCGCGTGGGCGAAGCAGCCATGTTTGGCTGCGGCTGCTACGCGCTGAACTTGGCCAGCCAATCAAACGCTGCAAAGGAGAGCGCCGCCTGCAGCGTGTCAGGATGCGGCGAGCATGTTATGAAGACTAGACTAGCTGAAAAGTGCTGCTCCAGCGCATTTTTGAATAGTTCAGACGGTCGTAAGGGCGGCCTTTATGATTCGCTCAGGGTCACACTCCAGGATTTCCTGGACCACCCCTGGCTAAGCCACATTCCGCAAAGGCTGTGCGGATTGGTGGTTTTGCACGAATATGTCAATGGTGAGCCGTCGTTTTTTCTCTGGCCGGTATCTTGTGCTAATGCGCTGGTTGTAAGAGGCATTGAAATAGCGTGGGGGCACACATCGGCGAGTTTTGCAGTGGGATACTTCCGGGAGGGCGACTGCAAGCCCACTGTACTCTATACGTACTTAATGCGCTGCGCTCCTTTTAGTGTTCTAATGCTTATATTCAAGGCATTAGTATCTCGTCTGCCTAAAAGCAGCCAGGTGGGTAACTCGTTCCTTATAGGAGGCACATTCACAAGGCGCGATACGCTAAAGCCATAATAAACTAATCAATAACTACTTTAATAGTTTTACGATGATCACTGTATTTTTGAAAGCGTTTCGTTTAAGCCGTTGAACTTAACTATCTGACGAACAAAATACTGACCGTAGCGCCTCTCCATTTTTGTTGCGGCCACATGAACCATGTCCTGCGTCTATAAGTAAAAATCTTAAGCAATAACAACTTCTAAAGCATTACTTCGTTTATATAAAAGTCGATGCCAGAATTATTAACGAGCGTGCCGGTCAGCGGGGGTCCCTCGCTCCATACCTGCAGAAAGCCGCATTTACAACCGAACAACTTATAAAGCTATAATTGCACCAATGATTGGCTTTTGCGCTTAAAAGCGAGAAGATAAGATCGAATGGTGGGCTCGTCCGTTTTCATAAAGGAGGCCAGTTTTCTAGAGTTTGTTACAGAAGGTTGGAGAATTTATAATACTGGTTATACCTAACGGGCATAGAGGCGTATAGGCGCAGATAGCTCTTAAGCGTGTTGAGCAGTAGCTGTTGGTGAACTTTATCCATAAAAAGTTCAACTTGTGATCTTTGTGGCTGCCGCACGAAAAAGTTACAAGCAGGATTGAGGGTAGGCACTGTTAGCATACATCCAACTGAGGATCGGCAGAAGTGGGATTGCCCACGGGAATGAACTTGGGACAGGAAAACAAAAACATATCCTGATAAGTTTCTAAATCGCTAGAAATAAGACATGAGTGAGAAATGAGACGCTTCCCCGATGAAAGGATACCCCTTCTGTAGCTTGAGCAACTTCTCGCCTAAAGTCTCCCGGAGGGCGCCGTGGAGTTGCTCGTCAATGCGCTGCGGTTGAAGGGACACGGCAATGGCCAGTAGCTGATGCAGCTGGCTCGTCTTTTTGAACAACTAATAGAGAAAAAGAAAAAAATAAAAAGTAAGCCCGAAGACAGGGCCACCTGCCCATGCTGCTGCGAGCGACTGTAAGGCTTGGTGCGCAGGATATACTGAAGAACATTCGAAAACATCCGTATAGAGTCCTATTGGGAAAAAAAGGACTTTTATAACGAAAGAAAAAGATCGCAAGAAAAACGGGCCTGATATCGCCCCAACATCAGATAAGCAAAGCCCACGTGGTAGCACGAGGATACTTGACAAGCAGGCACCGCACTGACCACCTACGAAGACAGCTGTAAGCTTAAAACTAGAAGAGAATTAATTGCGGAGATCTTGCGGTTGATTTCGACGTTCTCGAGCAAATTCAGGGCCTGATGGTAGTCTCCGAGAAGACAATGGACGCGGCAAAGCCCGATTAGTGAGAAATAGCCCAGCATCTTGTAAAGCATCAACGATCCGCACCCACCCGCTACGGCCTCAACGTGCTGGTGATCCTGACCTTCCCTATAAGCTTGGAGTTGAGCGTTTATATTCGACTTCTCCACAAGAGAGTGTAACACATTCAGCACAATATGCACGTTCCACTGCTACAATAAAATTAGAAGATAACTATTAAGTCGAAAAGTAGAACCCATACTTGTGGACTTAAGGAAGTGCATGTAGTGCCATCTTGATCCAAGTTCAACTCTTTAGAGCGTCGTGAAAAAGACCGAAATTGATATAGAAACTCATCAATTATATCCCAAAGCCATGCGTGGGGAAGCTCAAGTTTAATAGCCTCTTTACTAGCTAGAAAAAACAATTGAAAATATTCAATGCGTCAATGCACAAATCTATACATAGGATGCAGTGAAAAAAGTTGCAATAGTTTTCAAAGCTTGATAGTCTCTCTTGGAAAGTCGGCTCGAAGCTGGTATGGATATGACGGTAGTACAATTCTTTATATAAGACAAGAAAAAGATCTATAGGATTATAAAAATAATAGAAATAGTTATTAGAAAAACTTGTATTCAAGTATACGGTGAGAATCCTGGTTGCTAAAGTAGTGAGAAACAACTTCCGGAGCTGGCCAACGTGATTGTTTAAAATAAGTTTGAGAGAGTTCGTTATACTCTTCGTAAATTTGTAAAAACAAATTTATCTAGGTTAGGAAAATTATTTATGTTATATCATTAAAAAAAAACTTTGTGTACTTGCTCATCACCCTCAGCCTTAAAAGCGTCATAAAAAAAAAAAAGAAAATTCATAGTAGACTGATCTGAAAACTCTATATGCGTAATATTCTCGTATTCTCCAATAAATGAAATGTAACAATGGTACCTTCTGACTTATAACCAGAGCCTCCTTTTTCTAGATCCTCTTCAACGTTGGTGACGTTACCATTCTGCCAGACATAAGCAGAATTTAATAACTCATAATTAGAGTTAGTGCTTGGATCATCTGTATCAGAGTTTTTTATCAGATCCATGGCTAATCCTTTTGGACAATATAACTAATAAATGTGAAACGCATTTAGTGGGATGAATCGCATAAATCGGCTTTACCCTTGTTACCACGGGGATACTAGCAATGAGGTTTCTACTTGACATTTAGGACTCGAAACCTCAGAAATTGTTTGCCCCCTCTTAAGGCCGTCCACTTACTATGGACACAGTCTTATATTAGCTTTATTGAACAAAACTATAATTTCGTGTTTAAAATCTATATTGGGTTAGAGTTTATACTTCTTCTCACAAAAAGATTATAAAAAATCTAAAGTAAACGATAATTATTAGCCTTCTTGCTATCAACTCTTCAGAGAAGTCTGGAGTAATGCGATAAAGATTCCCTCAGCTTGTATTTGTAGCAAGTATATCTGTCTTGAGTCATATCACGCAGTTATTTTCGATAGATCTTTACAATATAAATGAGCCTGGTTTTGGATATAGTGAGACATGAAGTTATTGAGAATTGATATTTTACCATGGAGGAAAGATTATGAGAAGTTTTATAAGTTTATGAGTGTGGAGAATTGCACTTTGAATGACATTCCTAAGGGTGTAAATAGCGAGGTCAGCGATAGATTAGAAAGTTCTGAGCATGAAAAGTGTGATATAGGGTAGCATGGAAAGAAATGTGATCTGGGAAAGTAAGTAGTTGAAAAGTTTTGTGGCCAACGGGAATTAATTAAGTTAGTCAAATTTTATAAAAAAAAGTGACAAACTCTACTTTAAGGATTTCGATTTTGAGAAAAGGATCAAATTAAGGTAACAGATGTGGGAAGATATATATCGTATTTGAAATGTTAGTGTAACGAATGAAAAGATCAAAAGTTTAGTAGTAGCACTTATATGGACTGAAATGGGATTTTGCCCGGAAGTAGCATATGAAACTGGACCATTTAAAGTAGAGTTGAAGGTTGAATCTCGTCCCGTTTGGAACATACACATATTAAGGATAAGTTGAAGCGCAAACTAATACAAAGCAAGGTGTGAGAAGCTGTTAGACACTGAGTTGCCCCATAGCGCGTTTTTACGCCCTAGAACTACGCCTTTTAATGAAACCGTTGAGTAAGCCATAAAAAAACGCTTAATTTATATGGCGAGAAGGACAAGAGAAACATGAGAGAATGTTTAAAAAATGCTTGCATTAAGAATATGCGTAGAACAAGTAAAAGTCAACAAGACTTATTCTTGCAAACAGATCTATTTGGCAATAGGACGGGTGGAACCCTTTTATAGCATTTCAATTACAAGTGTCCAATGATCCTCTGTTAATTCCAAATTTAATGCTCAAAAGCATTAAAGTAGTACCAACTCATTTTAGAATCTTTAGCAATAGCCTAATTACTGGATTTCATAAAATGAGCGGAAATTAATTAATAGTTGGAATTGACCACAAAGGCTCACTGGGGTTATTCTAAAATGATTTTTGATTGACCTTGTAAGAGGCGAAAGAGTAAATAGATTGAATCAGGTTTTAGATTCGTTTTCAAGGACGTTTCTTTGTTTACCTGGAGCTAAAATAAGGTACTCGATTTACTGTCCAGAGTGGTGAAGGCTGATAATTAAAAGAGCTCTACTGCTCCATTAAGAGACAGTGGCTGTTGTGTCTAAATTTAAAGTGGATAAAGAACTAATTTTTGAATGCAGTTAATATTGTTTCATACGGAAAAAAATATATTTCAACCCCCAGGTATTTCACCTAGGACCACGGCAGCGAAAGGCGTTTCTTTGTTATGAAAAGCGCCTTGCTCTTTTCGTTGCATTAATGAAGAGGTCTAATGACGACAACAGCTAGCAATGCTGACGTAGTAAAATAAGTTACTTTGACGACGATTGAATCCTACTATCGGCGTAAAGGGTAACCCACGTTTGAAGTGGGCTGGCAGAAGCTTGTCTCTTGTATGGAGGTGCATGGCTCTGGGTAGTTTAACAAAAATTTGTTAAAAGTATGATTTTTAAATTAAAGTTTTAAACACCACTGCATTAATCACCGAGTATCTTTTTTATATTAAGGATATGGACTTTTTTGTTTAATTCAATTAGTACGTTGTATCAACCAAATACATTTCTGCTCTTCAGTAAAGGCATTCCGCCAATACTTTATAAATTCATTTGAAAAAAAGAACAGCGTATTTTATTACTGCACTGACGAGGGCAAGCTATAGAAAGGGAGGGCTTTAGCTTTTAAAATTTTTTGAGGTTTCCGAAAGAATGAGTTCATTGTCTTAAAGGATGTTCATATCTCAAGAATGAAGCTTGTTTGTAAAACTTAGCTTTTTTGATATATGTTATGGGCCACCTTAATAATTTAAAAAGCGCATACTTAGCTGAAAATTACAAAAAACTTTTTTGGTATATACTTCCATTAATTCTCTCTGGTAGCTTGCTGAGAAGAACTTAGCTTCTATTTTTATTTAAGAGTTTAAAATTTATTTTTTTCTATTTTAACTATATGCAATTGGCTCCACACCGACCAGCATAAGACAATTGTTAGCATAACAGCCATTTTTGAATAATTTGCTCTATTCAGTGCCATCAATGGTGTTGCATGAGCTGTACTGCAGCGTTAATCTCGGGACGTGATGGAAGGCGGTGACACTGATGACATCAATGATGACGCTGTGACAAGCGCGCTTATTAATTGAATGACGGCAGATAATATCGGCAGATAATATCGACAAGCTAAACAAGGCAGCTCACTTCGCCACGAATATATAACGAAACAGCAGCTCCTTTCCTATAATTTCTAAAAGATTACTGACGCCTTCTTGATAGAATTGTTTTACATACTATCCTCTCTAGCCGCTCTCCATAACCTTTATTATTTGCTTAATCTTATTTGAACGATCACACCCTCAGTAAGTAAGCGGACGATGTATACATGTAGCTCAGACATTTCGTTTAGGGAAGTTCAAAAGAAATTCTATTTTTTCCCTTACTCTTTGCGCTGCACATGAAGAATGGTTTCTTTGATGGTTTTATAACTTGAGCAGTGAAAAACAAGGCGTTCTATAGTACTTAAAAGAACCCCTATAGCACCGGCACCTTATAGATTTCCCACCAGGCCAAAAAGTGGACACCCACCATAAGGGACAGGAATCATTGCTTAAAGTAACTAGTTCTAACGTACCCCCTCACCCTGTTAAGTAATTTCATTTTCATTACAAAATTATCTCCACTCTGGTAAAACAGGTTTTTCTTGGAGGGGGAGGGAGGTTGGCAGAATACGAACACGAGCAATCAAACTCTTAATCTGTGAGATAATTTTTATACTACTTTAACTAAAACGACTTTGTAATGAAAAAAAAAAAACGTGTGCTTAAGGGGAAAGGTGCAAAACGAGAAAATTGGGCTACAGTCGTTATATCAGCCATAACTTAAACTGCTTAACCCCTTAGAGGTTACTGGTACTATGTTTACCACATGTCCCCTAGGTTCAATTCTCAAGAGTAGGTCTATGGAAATTAGCCCTAAACGACTAACTCGGTCCCTGTAACAATGGTAAGTTTGATACCATGTTTTAACGGATTAGGCACCAAAAACAAAATATAAAAAATTGGTAAATTAGTGTTACCCGTGAACTTTAAGATGAGAATTTGTTACGCTATCTTTTTATTGAACAAAAATGTTTTCATTCTGGATGTAACAAGTTTATTTTTGGTTAGCTAGGTAAGTAAACATTTGTTTTCTGTTTTTTTTTTAAATACCAATACATAGTGTTTAAATAAGTTTCCTAAATCCGTTTATAATATTTAGTATAACTAGTAAACTTAGTGTTTACTTAGTTGTCCTCTGGATTACTAAGCTATTTAATATCTTCAGCTATAACGCTCTCTAGACGTTTTAGTCTTTTTTCCACCCCTCTAGACTTAGACTTAAACCCTAACCCTTATAATATCGCTGGTCCTCCAGGCCAACCTAAAACTAAAACACTAAAGACGCGGTAAAAACTGAAAAAGAAAGAAGGGAAGAAGGTGGAAAGACGGACGAAAACCACCCACGTATTCTATTAAAAAAATATATGTATATATACCATACATATTGTAGCAAATAGATTATGAAGGTACCTAATAGTTACCCTTAATAATTCTAATTTTAAATTTGTGCTGTAAGGTGATTAAATTCTTAACATATAGAACCCAATTTAGAAAACAAATATTGGTCTTTATAGTATAGTTCAACATAGGAAGTGATCTCGCAAAATAAAACAAATCTATTTTAAGCCCCAGAGCTTTGTACGTTAAAGGGTTGATCTAAATTCTCCCATTATGGAGAGAGTTGAGGAGGTCAGCCCCCTTGAGAATATAAGGCCTCTCGGGTTACATAAAGGCTGGCGATGTCTTTGTAATTTAAGCATTTAACATCCCCCCTCCCTCTTCACAAATTTAGAATATTATTACCATCTGATGAATATTCCAAAGTTGTTACATAATTTCAAAAAAATGTTTAGGACATTTATATTTTAAAAAATGTGCGAAATTAAATTTAATTAAGCTTCACGAGAAATATGTATACTAGTATTGCTCCTGTCTTAGGACACAAGATTGATCACCAATCTGAAAGTTATATAGTAGCATTTATTTGTTTAATGGTAGCTATTATTAACACCCCGAAAATAACGAATGTCAGCCTGTTATGTATTGTTTTAACGATGCTGTTATTACAAACCCGAATTGCAGGTTGGTTATTTACAAAGATCGACAGCGTCATTTGAGCCTACGACCTCTTTTTATAAGAACTTTAACCATTTAGCCTCTGACCATGAGCTCTATTTCTATTGTAGACAAGCAGAGATTTGGTCTTCTGTAAAACTGACTTTAAGTCACCGGTGAATTATGTGGCAGAAAGACGTTGTCCTTGTACTGCATCTAGTTTGCTTAAAATTTATTTAATCACCATCGCTGTACGATTTTAGGTTAAAACTTCCCAGCTGTTTATGATAAATAATATAATGCTTCCAACTTTAAAGAACGACTTGCTACCGAACCCTTTTTCTACCTTTTAGCAGTACGGAGGGAATCCAAGTATAATTTTTGGAATGATAAAAGAATTCCTGATTAATAGCTTAAATTAATCTAACTTGTAGTGCCTATTCATTATTTCATTAAAAGTCCTTGGCGTTGCTATGTCGCGTGCTTTTGGGGTAAAGGCTTGAGTTATTCGGACGGTGCCAATATTTTCAAATATAAAAAGTTTAGTTTAGCACAAGTCATTGCCATCTCTGATGCGTTTTTCCCACTAATGATTTTATCCTCAACGTTCGTTTTACATGTCCATTATGCTAAAAGTAAGGTCGGCATATAGGGAATGTTCATCGCAGGAGTCAAGTCTCTGTTTCTGAAGCAGTTACTTCTACTTAACTTCTCTACCTGCGTTGACTATCGTAGGACGTCTGTAAGGTACGTACAAGGCTCCGTTATTGTCCTGCCTATGAACAGATTCATCTCAAGAAAAACGACACATTCGGCAGGAAAAACTTCGCTGCTGTATAGGATTATAAGCGAAGTTTGATTAAAATTTTGTAACAGAGTCGAGATGAGTCGAAACCCACAAGGCAACTTAATTTAGCTCGTTTATAAAGATAATGTAATATTTAAACAGTATATGCAGGGTATAATTTGGGTAGACTGCAGCCGTCATGTTAGATTCGCACCTTAATTAGGCTTTGCTTGGAATACTTTACTTTGAACTTTAGAATTTTTTAACCTAATAAACAAAAAAATATAAATCAGAACGCTAGTGCTGTATTGTTAAATTAGTCCTTGCACCAGAGATTTTTAAAATTTTGTAGATTCCTAGGTAGCAACACTCCCCTTGTTGATTCCAAGAAAGATATTTGGCGGTTATTATGGTAATTAGTCGCCTTGGCGGTTTCACGTGGACTACGTAACAGCGAAGATTAACGCGATGTGAAGAGCAATTGTAATTACTTTGCGGTTAGCTAACCTTTTTGAGCAACAAGCGTTAACGATAAAAATTAAATATTCATTACGGCGACTAATCCATATTGTTTACCTAAATTTAAAGACCGTATAAATTAACAGAGGGTAAAATTAGTTCAAATTGCACATTAAATTTAAAATTTTTATTTGTAACCAAAAACTTTTTAAGTAGCTGATATAATTTGAATATTATAAACACCACAACGTTTACTGTTACAGCATCCACGGTAATTAGGTCGAGATTGGTGAGGAACTACGTGCTAGTGTTAGACTGACCTAACGCGTCCTCTAGTTTGAGTATTATGAAAACGACGCAGGTCTTGTGAATGTTTTATTAAAATATCTAAAATTATTGCTTAAAGTAAATCTAGAACTCATGTTTAGTAACTAATATTTAAATGGTTAAAAAAAATTGGTCAGGTATTAAACTTCATTTCCTTTTTATTAATAGACCTTTTTTTGCTTAAGCTACTATATGTATTACAAAAAACTGTTTATAGTCCTCCCATGCTTATATTATATAAAATTATTTATATCATATTTAAGATAAATTAGAAAAAGAATATATCATATATATATTAATATAATACAAATTGTTCAGCAATTAGAAAAAACAGAACCTATCAAATATATCTACAGGGTCTAATCCTAACTTATGGCATCACTTTAATAACAGTAAATAAGGGGTTAATTAGCATCTCAGGACCCGAAAGTAAGGGGCCCGCCTGGTCTGTATCCTATCAGATTCATAAGGTAAATAAATAATAAATATAGTAGGAATAAAAAAATAGGAGACGCGCATCCGCCCAAAAGCACTATTTCGTCCAATCTAAATTATACAGCCAGCAGCGTGACTGGTACTGCGGCGGATGGCCACGCCTAAATAATCTGGATAGGCGACAACTTTTGATAGGAGCTCGAAGTATTCGACCGAGCGACAAGAAAAGCAAATTAAAAAATTGCAACAAATATTGACCAACAGGGGCTGTCTAGAGGGGAGCAGGGAATGAATGATTCAGACTTGACTTTCAATTTTTATGTCGACGCTGGTAATGGATGGCCATGACACTCCATCATATTGCGGCCCTTCTAATGACGCCCTCTTGACATTTACTAAAAAGTCATTACAGAAAATTATATCAAGTAAAGAATACAAATATTCTGTTTCTACAGAAATAAAAGCGTCCTGCGACAATTTTATAAAGAATTTAGAATCCACTGATTGTAGGTATGTTTTTCCGGACAGTAGTCACTTTTTCTGAGCAAGTACCTTTTTTTTTGCATTTAAAGCCTATCTCACGGTCTTACTTTACCTTACCTATAAAAAAAGGGCCAGTCAATATGATTTTAAAATATTTCAACTCCTTTGTCACTGTAAAATTCCAAGTGTAATGGTGGAGGCCTTGGATTGCCTTCAAGTGTTTACGTTATTCTATTTACACCTTGCAAAACAAATTATTTTTATCTTATAGAAAATTTTTGCCTGGAACTCTTCTTTAATTCCTACTGAAGACGTCGTTTACACCATTTGCGACTGCTGGCTCGAAGAGCGGACTGAGCCCTTGTCGCTACAAGTTGTAAAGGTTTTTTGCTATAAACCTTTTTCTATAATAATATTTATTTCTCTTTGCCTTACTATCTTCATTTTGAAAGGCCTTATTGACAGCCGTTACTTGTGCTCAAAGCCAACTTACTTCTGGCTCTGTGCTAAGGGCTTTTCAAACTTGCTTTGATATTTTCGTGGCCTCTAAAAGTGCCAGCGTTCAAACAGCAGCGAAGGCAACTTTAACCCAAATTCTCAGCTCCCTTTTAGACAAAGTGAAAATAGAGGTGATCTTTTTTCTCTCTTAATTGTCCTCTGCACTTACTTGCTACTGTTTCATGATTGTTAAGAAAAGGATAAGCTGGTGGAGTCTAAGATTCCCACGTCCTCCGAACTTAAGGATCTGAACGCCGATGCCGGGGAGATACCAGAGGAGGCGGGAGCCAGTAGCCCATCACCGGCGCCGTCTGGTAGTTCTGGATTCAGTATACTGGCTTGCCTTTCGCAGTGGGAGCAAGGTTGTGCACCTGCTTCCGCATTGTTACTGATCTGAAAGTTTGCCGCCTTCCAGAGCTTCAATGTCGCGGTCCCGTAGATCAGACCACCCTTAATGCATTGCTTGTTTTTCGTCTGCTTTGTCTCCTCTCGTTCAACCACGTTCAAGACGCGCAGTGGACCGGTTCAGAGGCGAAGATGCAGCAACCACACGGCAAAGTCGCATACAGCTTCTTAAAGTCAAGCAGCCCCTCATTCTTTTTCATTCCTTTCTAGATTTTGTCTCTCGAACTGCTATTGGTAGCGTTGGGACACTGCACGCCAGCATTGAGCATCTTTCCGCCTTTTGTCGACTCGATTAAAAAACACCTATGCATTTCCCTTTTGAGAAACGGCACTTCTCAAAATACTTTCATATTCAAGCTGTCCCTCTCCATTTTCATGCTACTTCTTGGCAACTTTAGGCGATTTTTAAAGCCTCAGGTTCACTGCGCACAGTCACTACTTTTATTCTTCACTTGCAACTTATAACAGTTCTTTTAAGATCGAGATCATTTTCAAAAATGTTTTTCTTTTAATTCTTGAGTCGCCCACATCGTCCTTCCGCCACAAATGGCTCATCCTACAAGCCTTGTAAGTTGACCTTTTCTTATATTTTAACTCTGCACGGACCTTTTTGATGACTATAGAGCGAGTATTTGCGGCGATCCACAAATGATCGTCGATCTACACGTAAACTACGATTGCGACTTGTCCATGGACAACATCTTCATCAGACTTGTTGGCGATTTGGGAAAACTAGCGCAGGGGCGTCAGTCTTCTGAACTGGGCGCGACTCCCCGCGAAGAGAAAGATTTAAAATTTACGGGTTTTTATAACTCGAGATTAACTGGGCTATCTCGTTTGTAACAAAATCTAAAAGGCTTGGCGTGTCTTAAAGCCATTTTGGGATCGATGAGCGAATGGATAAGACTGTGTGAGGAAAAATACAGCGAATCTACCGCTGTTACTTCAGTAAGTGAGACAGCGCCTGCTGTTACGCCTTGTACGCTCAAAAAGCACGACGACCACGAACACTTCACTGTAGACGACTTGGAAAGCATGGAGACGAGGAGAAAGACAAAAGAGGTGCTTGTTTACTGCGGATGAGGGCTTTTCCTCACACCTTTTCCCTTCTGCAGCTCATCGAACGGTGTATCAGAGAGTTCAATAGCAGCCCGAAGGAGGGCCTCAGACTTATGCAGAACAAAGGTCTCTTGGGAGAGGACGCTTGTAGTGTGGCGCGCTTTCTACTTGGAGAGGACCGTCTTGACAAAGCGATGATTGGAGAGTTATTGGGAGACCACGAGGACTACTGCCGAGAAATCATGCTGGCTTTTGTCGATTCGCTAGATTTCTCCGGCATGGATTTTTTGCCGGCGTTGAGGTGTGTTGGCCTCGTAACGGTTTCTGAGCGTTTTCTTAACTTGCTTTTCAGACATTTCCTTGGAAATTTTCGACTTCCTGGAGAAGCTCAGAAAATAGACCGATTGATGGAGAAGTTTGCTGCTCGTTATTATGAGAACAATCGCGATGTGTTTGCGCACGCGGACACTGCCTATGTTTTGGCCTTTTCTGTCATCATACTGGCCACCGACTTGCATAACAAGAATGTCAAGAGAAAAATGACTAAAGGTTTCTTGTCCTTCACGCTCTTTCTCACGACTTCCCCACGTGCACGTCCACTGTAGATGAGTTCGTTAGAAACAACCGGGGCATCAACGACCAGAAAGATCTGCCGCGAGACTTTCTCGAGAACATCTACGACAGTATCGCTGCGGAGGGAATTCGCACAAAAGGTGGCCGCTTCTTGGACACACGCATTACCTATTCGGCCAGTGGTACTGCCTTCGCACCTGTGGTTGCATACCGACACTTTATTATATTTACGGTGTTAGAACTGACCAATGAGAAGACCCGGAATCTTCTTTATCGAAAACAGATGGAGCGCGCTCTGGAGGCTCTTAGTGACACTTTGCTGGAACGGTCTCAGGCTCCCTCCGAGTTTATCACAGCCACTCGCGTGGAACACGTCAAAGTCATGTTTTCTGCGTACTTAAAGAAGCCACCACTTTGATATGCTCCTTCTAAAATTGGTTTCTATCAGCACGTGGGCGGTATTTCTAGCATCAATCAGCATAGCCCTGAGCACTACTGCGCATAAGAACACTTGGAAGCTATGCCTGGGAAGCTTTAAAAGCGCCATTCACATTGGTTGTTTTTTTGGAATGGAACTTGAGCGGGGTGCCTGCGTGTCGTCTCTTGCCAAGTTTACCACTCTACTGTCTTCTGATACTCCCCTAATGGAAGAAAAGCAGGTCGTCATCACTACTGTAAAGGCGTTGCTATGCACTTCACACGGCGTTCTCCTTTTTTAGTTTGCGTGTCTGATTACTCTCTTGTCTGTGGCGCATAGAGAGGCCAACTTCTTGGAGTCCTCGTGGTACGATATCCTTTGGTGCATCTCCCGTCTTGAGTGCGCGCAGCCCGGTCTTTTCAAGAGTCACGATTCCGTATGTGTAGGCGCCTCTGTCATCCGGCTTTCTCCACGCTTACCCTTTTTCCTTAGAGGGAAAAGTTACTTAGGGTCGGCCGCAGTGCGAGTAACTCTCAAATGACCCGCAAGCACAGCGGTAAGTCGGTAAACTTACTTTTCTCTCACGCCAGTGGAAAGGAAGAAGGTGAGTTGTTTTGGCTTCTAGTTTTGTTGTATCTACTTGTGACGCTCATTTAAAGATTTAAACGAGCTTCATTGGCAGTCAGTTATTCAGCCCATTCAATTCTCAGTAGAACGAATATTCTCGAATTCTTTAAACCTGACGGGAGACGCCATTCTGGAGTTTGTAAGGCAGTGCTGTGCCCTCTCTGCGGAGGAGCTGCAGGTTCGTTCTGATAGTCGTCTGTCCGCCTCTTGGCACCATGCCTTCGCATACTCTTAGAGCTCGTGCCCGCCTCGGATGTACATGCTGCAGAAGATTGTTGAGGTCTCTCACTACAATATGGATCGCATTCGCCTGGAGTGGTCCCGAATCTGGACTGTGTTGGGGAGCCACTTCAACAAGGCACTCCACCTCTCCACTTCTGTGACCCTTTTGCAGTCCTTCCTTTCACAGACACCAAATTGCACAGGCTGGCTGCATGCTGGACCAAACCATCGCCCTGTTTGCCGTGGATTCTCTGCGGCAATTATCCATGAAGTTCCTTGAGAGGGGAGAGTTCGCACACTTCCATTTCCAAAAGGACTTTCTCCGGCCCTTTGAGTATATCATGGCCAATAACGAGGAGGAAAAAATACGGGACATGATTATCTGTTGCATGTCCCACTTCGTTCAATTACAGGCACGCTCTCTTATACGCGACCAACTGACGCTGTACTTAGCCAAGTACTCAGCAGGCTAACAACTTAAAGTCTGGCTGGAAGAACATCTTTTGCGTCCTCTCATTGGCTGCATGGGAACGCAACCACGATGCACGTGCCTTATTTGTTACTCCGTTAGGGATATAGGCGACCTTACAATTTCCAATAGCTTGTTTCTGCGGCTTTCGACATATTTCGCCATGTGCATCAGCACCATTTAGCGGCCATCTGTAAGTCATCCGCCGTAGAATACCTAAACTGTCTTCTTGAGTTCTGCGTAGCCCCTGGCCTTGATAAAATAAGCATGGAGACGGTAAAGCATCGGCCTAGCTTTTTTTCTTATGGGCCTTCTGTCGCCTAACCGGTATTGTCCAAAGATGCCCATGATTCAAGCGTACGCTTTAGAGGTGCATCAGAAGAGCAAGGATAACAGAATCTCGTAATCAACTTTACTATACAATAACTACTAAATTAACTTTGAAGTTGTCTCGGGCAGTCCGTGGATCGACGGGTGGTTGCCACTCATGCTAACTCTCCACAGAATAGTAATGCGCTGCTCTATTGACCTTCGAACAAGGTCACTTCCTTTTCCTTTTACTTTGAAGATCTGCTGAGTCGAGAATTTTAGGGCGTTGAATATAACCTTCGAGCTGCTGCGCGCTTATGGCGACTGCTTTACTCAGCAAAACTGGGTAGACCTCTTCCACGTTTTTTTCCGCCTCTTTGACGACCAGAGATTACCGGCCGCTTTTGACGAGGTCTGCATTGTCTCAAGGATTGCATAAGAAAATCCCTGCAGCTATAATTTGCCTCTGAATCATAGAAAAAAGTTTGGGTGGAGACGACATGCACCGTTGCGTTGTTTCCAATGATGGAAACCATAACTCAACACTTCGCCATTCTCGCACCCCCAGTACTAGGAAGTTTCCTGGAGCGTTTGCAGTGGTGCCTCGAAAAGGGTAAAAGGCCTGTTCGCCATCATCATCTACTCTTACTGGTCGCTAAGGGAGTGGACTCTTGGCCACTTCCGCCGTTCAGTGTCTGTCTATGCTAGTCCTCAGAAACTGCGGGGCCCTACAACCTGCAATGTGGGAACTTATCGTGAGGCGCATAATATCGATGTTCGAGACCACAATGCCACACGAACTTATGAACTTCCGACCTCCGGAAGGTGTCCTAGTCACATTCATACAGCGGCGCTTTTCCTGAACTAATTCACTGGCAGCCACAGCAGAAGGGGCCGGCCACACGCTATCGGAGTGCGCTCTTGTTAAGTGTGTTGTCCAGCTTGAGCTCCTCCATGCTGTTGAAGATATCTTGCTTCCGCAGCGATTCGACCTACCCACGAACGAAGCTCCTTCCCGTTCCGAGTGCCCGTCGGTACTGTTGTCTTCATGCTGGATAGGCTGCAAAACTTTTTAAGGGTTCCTTTATATAGAGGGGCAGCGCCTACGAATATTTGTCTACTGAGTATGTAACTGCACTGTTACAAATTCTGCTGAAATCGCACAACTTTGCTGAATCTTTCAACGCAAACCTACAACAGCGCCAGCTTCTATTGAAAGCAGGTGATCTGTTTATGTAAAAACCCTTTGTTGCATAGAAAAGCTAATTCATATGCCGAGATAAGGATGTCTAAAGAAGCTTCCGCATCTCCTGAAGCAGGAAAAATTGTCCCAGCGGGTGTACATCGCGGTTCTACTTAGAATATACGAGGATCACTCTCGCCAGGACGTCTGGGGCTCTGCTGAAGAACAGCTCATAAGGTGACTCTTCCCGCAATTCGTTAGGAGTTTTCGATACAAAGGAGCTACTACTTTCATAATAGCATCGCTGTTGACGCCATAAACACGTGTATAGAAGAACAGAGCACTTCTAACGAACGCGCACGAAGTACCAGTACAGGAAATCTTATTCTTCTTTTGAGGGGACTTCTACGCTCCCCCAGTGAAAAGGTTTATATTGCGTTACTGGGAAGCTTGCGGTCACTGATGTATTTCTTAGTTCCGAACACACATAGCTCGCTACTACAGACCTTTAGTCTCTCTCTTGTGCTTGGAAATTAAGAATTCAACACTGCGGTGCGCGTTGGGCGAAATTTTTCTTCGTATAACTCGAGAATATATTTGCACTGGCGGTGCGCCATTCTAAATTGGGCTTACACTTAAACTAAGTTGTTTAGTCTAAGCAAACTTTAGAAATTCCTACTTACCCCCTTTTTATTCCGAAATTATTTTACTTTTAGTAAAGTAACCAAAAGCTTTTATTTCAAGTTGAGTATTTTGCAACGGTAGCTGTCGAGAGTTGTGTAGTCCTTGCTGTCCAAAAGAGAGTATGCGTCCACAAAGTGTATAAAATGAGCAAAGATAGTATTTAAATGGGCCACCAGTTTTAGAGCAGCGACTTCCTCAAAGTGGTTGAGATAGACATGGGTAAAGGCAGTAAATAGCAAGCGGTATATTTTCTTGCATATTGCAATAAAGTCTTTTGGAAAGGGATTGCCTAATAAAAGCAGTCTGTTAAGAATGGCAAATACTAGCCGTAATATGAACCTAGCCACCGTGTTTGGTGGGGAAAAGTGTCTCATTGTTCAACTGCTCGGTTATAAAAGAGTCCATATAATCAAAGTATTGCGGAGCAGATAACCTTTTTAGTTTTTTCCCTTTTCCGTCCAACCAAAAATATTCTATCCTTACGAAAGAAGTAAAAGTAAACAAAAGCTTATACCATAAAAGTAAGTTTTTGAGGTAACCTTGGACCGGCTGGCACACTTGGGCACCTTTGCTCGGTACAGCTTCCTGAAAGCGCAGCAATGATCAAGTTGATGTGGTTAAAAAAAGGTCTAGCTAATTTTTTTTGGCAGTTTGTTATTTAAAAAAACTCTTATAATAATGTTAGTATAACCATATATTGTGACAAGCCAGAAAAGAAGAGATTTAAAAGTTTTTAACTAAAAAAGTATGTATAATTTAATATATTTATAACTGTTGGTGGCGAGCCATTCATGCTGAGTTACCCCGTAAGGCGGCTTAACTAATTCTGACCAAACGATCCCTTGTTTGATAAATGTTGAAAAATATGGCTCCTCCATCCAAGGCTGGGGGGCTACTTCTTGTGATTTCTTTTTTCCTAGGCTTAAAAAAACTGTTATATAAAAAATAACTAAATGTAGTAAAATTACCGAAAAAGCATTTTCGTTAAGACAATAAATTTTTAATTAAACGTTTGTAGGTGCCTCTATATAAAGAAAGTAACGTTTTATAGCATTAGTTAGTAGCAATCAAAACACCGAATACATCAAGAAAATTTTTACTAGTTTTTATCTCAATGTTTTCTGTGCAATTCGGTAGTTTCTATACAACAGTGCTGAGTTAATAATTTATTTTGTCCCACTGTGCAGTCTGAGAGGTGGGAGGGGCTGCCGCGGTTATAGGACTTCTACTTCCCCTCCGTCTCCTCTTTTACTTTAAGTGTAATTTAAAAGTCTCATTAGATGATTTACAAGTATTACAACTTAAAATTTGTTATTATCGATGTTAAGTTTGTAAAGCGGACTTAAATGTTTTGTTTAGAGCGAAGCTTAGGGTGACTTGGTACAAATTAATTTAAAAAAACTTTTAAGATTCCCAGAAGATAGCATAAAGCCTGAACTGTATTGCCTTCCCCAGTACTAAACATAGATGACTGAAACACCTTTCTATGCTAGATTATAACATTAAATGCTGACAATAATGGTAAACAGAATAGTAATTGTATTAATTAGTGACAGTACTAGTAATATATAATTGAATATATTTTTATTAATGATACAGTAATGGTGAGATAACAATAAAGCAGCAAATAATAGCAATTATAACTCAATAACAATGTTATAATAATAATTAGTAGTGTAGTATTATTAAAAATCTTTCATATTTTATCTATAAAGTTAGTGAGAGTTTACTCACTTTCGACCTACTTTGCAAAATAGTGTTCTGTAGAGTCTGTCTTGGTAAATTAAGCAGTTTGAGTTATTATACTCGTACCGGCTGTATCGTGCCCCAGTGCAATATAAAAAAATTAATAGCAAAGCGCTAAATTAATTTTGCAGTCTCCTTGAGTATTGGCAAAGATTTATTCAACAAGAACATTGCAAAACCGGGGCTAACTAAAGCGATATATACTTAAGAAAGCAAATCAGTTTTTAAGACTTAGTGTTTCGCTGTTATTAAAAAGTATGTAACACCCTTTTACCCCTTTTACTAACTAATTAAAAAATTTGACTCCAGGTAGGCTAGATAGCAGTTTAAGTTACTGCATTTGATACAAAATTATTGGAAGTACCGCCTACTTTAGATTTTCGCAAAGCTTTACCTAATAATAACTACATGATATAATTGTGTTAGTTAATAATAACTATAGGGTGCTTAACCTTTGTTTAATAGCAGAACTTAATAAAAATAGAACATAATTTATTTACAAAGTTAATGTAAGACGGTCATTGTTTAGACTAAAGCGCTTAATGTTTTTACCAACTTAAACTGTGACGGTAAGGTTATTCCTATAATGGCACTACCATAAGTACTGGCTGTAAAAAGAGTCAAACTCTATATTTTTCTTAGTGGGGAAAATATACTTTTATTCTACAACAAGCTTCGTTTGTATGAGTTGTGTTCAGGTTAATTATGACAGTAATGTTTGCTGCCTGAACCTATAACTTACCGGCAATATATATTTCGTATCAGCTAAGACAAAGCATGCTATTACACCTCATGACGGGTGCGCCGTGGTTCGAAATGGCGCCTTAATCAAGATCTTTAAGTTGAGCGTCTTGGCTATCGTTTTATAAAGCAATTACAGAAGAGCTCAGTTACAAAACCACAAGATGACCCATGCTATCGACATCGGCGCAACCGTCTTTGAATTTTTTGTGATTTCTCTTTGTTGTATTATTAATAGGGGTTAAAAGTGAAGGTTAATGATTGTATATATGAAATTGCTTAGATACAGGCTTTAAACTAATTTGTTTGCTATTATCCAGTTAAAAACTCGTAAGCGCTCTGTTTTTTGACCCGATCAGGCACTAAAAATTACCTTTTATAAATTATTAATGAAAAGGTATTGGTTTGGATAAGGTGCTACATGACTCCAAGGGAAAAAGCTTTCAGCTCTATACAGTCAGTCACCAATAGTACTTATAGTGTGCACAATAAACACTGTGTATATTGCTTATATTAATAAAACTTTTTATTTAAGGAGCAGAGCTAAATTGGTTTGCTTCCAGAGCGCTGGGTTCCACAGAGCCCATAAATATCATCCTGTTCTAACCTACAAAATGGTTTTACCTTCTATTAACTACGCTGAGCAACTTTATGCTACCCTAAGACTCTTTTTAGGCAAACAAAATGACTAACGAATGCAAAACAAAAACTTAAAATCATGCTGGGGAGCAATAGTTACAAATCAGGTTATTAAAATTCTCACTTTTAAGGAAGCAGAGAAGATAATTACTTGTTCCTGCCATCAATTTGATTTAGCACATACATCCTTCCTTCCTCCCCGCTCACAAACTTTTACTTTAAAATAAAAAGGGCATTATTATAAATATTTCCGACAATTATAAATTGCTATACATATGTATATTCATGCAAATAGTGAATTAATTTAATGAAAGCCGTTTTATTGACAGAATTACGTAGTGTTTGAGAGATAAAAACATAACATGTTAAATTATTATTGTTTATAAAAAAAAAACGAGTTAAGCTAAAATAAAGTTTTAAGAACTTTTGTTAACATAGAGCGATATTTAATTATAGTATGCTAAGCTTTAAATCAAAGGAAAAAAATGTAGAGTTAAGAACAAAAATTTAAAGACTTTCAACGTGATAATCGGTAACAAACAAAAAGTAAATGAATTTCTTTATTAACTTATTTGCTCAGCAAACCACATTTCTCTAGTCAACGACCTCCTTTCCTTCGTTGTAATTAGTTAATTAAAATCTCACTTGCATATACCTGAATTCCTAATTTACTGTTATAGCTTTACATAAAACTCCTCCCAGCCGTCTTATTCATTACAGTCTCCCCTGAAGTTTTAGTAATTTCTCTTTAGACTTCAAACGAATTACACTATGAGCGCCGGAAAAATTTAATTACGAAAGATTAAAAAAAACAAAAACGTTTTCTTAAACTTGGTAGGTGGGCGGTGAAAAAGCATGACTAGCAAGAATTATATAATATTTTTTCAGATCTTGAATGATTGGTCTTCCCCCGTAGTTTCTCTTAAGACATGTACCAAGACAAAAAAAATAAATTTATGCAACTAGAAAAAATTATATTCTAATTTTTCTAATTATCATATAATGTAACTCCGACGGTTATATAATTACATTAAAAAGTTATAGTAAAAGATAAAATTCCGCTTAAATTAAATATAAAAAGCCATAACTCCTAAATGTTACAAGCTTTCCTTCTAGATAAGTATCTGCTTAATAATAATTTACTTTCTTTTATTATAAACCAAACAATTGTTACTAAATTAGCAAAAATGAAGGGCCTTTAACAGACTTTTCATAGCAAGACTTAAATGTTTTCCTACAAATTAACTCTTTAAAATTATATAAGTTTCATAATAAGATCAATTCTAGCGGTGATGACTAACACAACTATAAAAAAAAACGCTTCAACCAAAAATCTATAAATTTCAAACAGAGAATTATGGGCACAACCAGACATTTAAATTCGATAAAAGAACTCAATCTTAATCTTTAGTAAAAATTAAAATAGTTTTTAATTAAAAACTTAAAAAAGTTAATTATACTTAATACAAAATTTAAAACAACGTAAAAAAAGTTTAATTAATTCAAAAATAAAATAATATAAGTTGCAAGTTCCCCATGCAAATAAAACTTTTATTAATAAAAGTATTATTTTTATAATCATTTTAAAAAATAATAAAAAATAATCTCCGTTGTGCTGTAATTAGTAGAGATAACGAGATTGCAACTGCGGAGTTTCAATGCAAACCTAAAAATAAATAAAAAAATTATTGTATTTCAAATTAAATTGCAGTAAAGATAGTCAATCTATAACAAATAAATAGTAAACTATAAGTTGGTACAGAAAATAAAAGCAACACAAAACATTTATAATTTAGTAATAAACTAAAAGGCAATTGTAATATTAATCTATAACTTGAATTCCTTTATAAAAAATTTAGAATATCATAAATCAAAAAAACGAAATTCAGGCTAATTGTTAACATATATTATATTTTAAAGTAAAAAATAATAAAAACATTATATTTAAAAAATTATGAAATAATATATAAATTTTAAAAATATAAAAAAATAAAGTATTACTGATAAAAGCAATCCAATAATTATGAATTTATAATAAATTATAACTACAAAGTAAATATTATGAACTATAACAATTTAAATTGATCTAAATTACTTTTATAAATTGAAAAACATATTTATTCGAAATTAAATAAGAACTAAATAAATGAATATTCTTTCGTAGTATAAACTTATAACTTTTGAAGACAACAGGATTCTTTTAAATTAATCTTATGATAATAAAATGAATTACAAAATCAAAGTTTTTAAATTTCAAGCTAAAAACTAACAAGCAAACTAAAAATAGATTTTTAAAAAAGAATACAAAAATATAGGTGAAAAATTTATTTAGTGAGTAGATATTTAAGAAAAGATTAATATACATATATATAATATATATAGTATCTAAACTTTAATAAATAAAATTAAAATTCCACAATCACACCGCTATGACGTAAAGCCATAACCCTTACTTTTAAGCAAAATTTAAAAAATCTCTTTAATATAATTAATAGCATGATAAAACAAAACGTAAATATACGTCAAGATAGTCGCCGATTCTAAAGCGAGTCTCCAAAAGCTTCAGATTATCGTCGGGAGTTCGCCGGCCGACTATAATAGTGCCAATTTCTTTCATCATCATGTGCCCTCTGGCCGTGGGATACACGCAAGAAAAGTTAATTCTAGTATGCTTCCTACGAGATTCAGGTTCAATGGATTTAATTAGAGTTCCAAGTTCTTTAAGTGACGCGTCCATCCTACGTTTAAAGTTATGAAAAAGGTTATTTAAACCTTAATGCAAACGCACCAAGTATGCATGTTCAATTCTAAATCTTCCGGGACTTTTCCATGCTGATATGACTCGATTCTATTTTTTTTTTAAAAAATTATTTAATTAAAAAAATTTTCAAAGTAAAATAAAATAACACACCTGTGATGGTTATTATACTTCGGAAATACTCTAAGAAGAAAAGGACATGTCTTTTAAATAAAAATTTATTAATAAAGTGTAACAAAAAAAATATGATAAATAAACTAAAGAAAAATTTAGGTATAAAGAATGTGGTTCCCGTTAAAAAATAAAAAGTACTTCATCTCTATTAACACGTAAGCTTGGCGCCTTAGATCTGTCCATCTTCTGAACTGTATATGGTGTAAGTCACAAAAGAATGAGATTAAACGGCGTTTACAAAAAAAAAAAAAAAAAAAAAAGGAAGTTAAATTTCAGTTAAAAAATCTCTACAACTAACTTTCTTCTGTGGGCAACGCTCCTGTTTCAGTAGTGTCAAGCACTTTTATTTCGTTTATTATCTCATTTACTGTGTTACTATCATCTGCGCGTTTCACACTCTCCTTAACGTTATGTGCTTTTGAATCTTGCCTAGATGTTTTATCTTCCTTGACTTTGGAAGAACGCTTTTCATCGTGGGTAGCACCGCCGTGTTTCTCATCCTTAGAGAATTTGGGTTTTTCTTCTTTTCTGTGTTTACTTTCTCTTAACTCTTTATCAGCTTTAGAATAACGAGAATCCTCTTTGTCACCAGTATTCCTTTTAACAGGTTGTGCTTCTTCAGACCTTGAGCTTATTCTTTCTTTTTTCGGTTCTCCCATCTTATAAAAAGCAAAAACAAATGTTAAACTCGAAACCCAAAGCCTCAGTGGAACAAAAAATCTGTGCTTGGCTACTTTGAGGCATAACGTTATTAGCACGTGCGATAATAACACTTTCCGTATCCTTAACGCTGCTGTTTACTGTAAAATGGGACTTTACATTAATGGTGTTATTAAAATCAACTAATGCTTAATTATAAAAAGTTAAGAAGCGCTATCCTTTTATCATAATAAATGCAGGAGAACAAGAATTTCTCTTCTAAGTAAACCAAAGTATCAAAGATTGTTAGTTTAGGTACTTTTGGTTCTACTTTTGTTTAAAAGAGTTGCAATTTTTTTTTTAAGCCGTGATAGTTTAAAACTATATATATATTAACAGAGCAAAAATGGAATTACTCTAATCTAAAAGGAAAAGGGTAGTAAAAAATATATATGCCTACTATATTTTTTTTCGTAGGTTTAAAATGTGGTTTTCATCAGCTGATATTTCACCGAACAAATTTTTTTAACTTCTATTTTTTTGCATTATGAGAAGAAAATTAGTTCGGCTCTTATAATTTATTTTACCTTTTGCAGTAGAGTTTGTGCTTCCAGGCCATTAAGGCCAGTTAAGGTCAAGGGAAACTCTCCAAGCAGGCCCAAGGACCCTCCCCGGGTAGGCATCTAAAAAACAGTTATGTTTTGCCCTAAATGGTTGTGCTGGATACCTCTAATAGAATTTGAGGACGAGATTAAATACGCAACTATCAGAGGCCTAAAAAGTAAGTCGTGTCGTTGGGAAATGAACCACCGAGCTTCGACCACAACTCTTCACGGAGCAATGGATATTGACTTCAATAATAACTCATTGGACTACTACCGCAGAATTCATTACGCTACACTGGCGGAGTTGGTCAATTCAAGGCGCATACTAGCAGGGAAGCATAAGCTGTGTAAGGTCGTACAATCATACAGAATAACGGAGCTTGTTGCGCAAGAACGTCACTCTCTTTGCGCACAATGGCGGTTAAGTACGTTGCCGCCATCACAATAACGCCGTGGTGTCGCCTCCGCAACCAATTATTAATGAGAGTATCAATTTTTTCGCTGACCTAAGTCCTTGCAGTGTTGGTTTTCATGCCCCATTTCGCCATAAGCTTGGAGTGTCTCAAGATAACGCAGCTTATGCAGTTGCGTAGATTGCTGTGTCATCGGCATAATGTGCGATGTGCGTGGTCTGACTCCCAGCTTGTGATAGCTAGTATATATAGCGCAAACAGATGACACAGTGCCCACACGAAAGCAAAACTACAACCGCATTATAACGACTAGAGGGATTGTAGATGTCTCAGTTACGCAGGTTGTGCGTAATACCGTGTCGGAGGCGATTTCAAATTTTTTCGTCTGAGCTCTTTGACCGTTATGCCACGAATTGTTTATTCAACGAGATTTAATAGCAGATGCATCGTAAAGTAGCTGTCATTCAAAATTTAAAACCTTAATACACACAACTATTCACTCTATAAAAGCGCAAGCAGTAGGCGCAGCACACGGTCTCGGGAATTTTGCCGTTTGCCGTTTGCCGAAGTGGAATGATCGGGTGACAGATGCTGGGGGGTAGGTGGGCTGGGCCGTCTTTGATGGTGCAATGGCCATTTAAATGACTTTAAGATCAAGTTAAATGGCTTAATCACTACCTTCAATAACCTTAATAAAATTCCTTTGATGGCATTAGAGCCTAATATCAATAGGTTCAAGACAAAGAAATATTTCTAGCTAGTTAACAATAGCTTGTATGCGGGTCAAGCCTTTTAAAGTTGAGATTATTACACGTGTATTCTCGTAATATAACGACTTTCGTTAGGGGAGACCTTTTCGGTTACTTTGTGCCTCACCTTCCTCTCGCAGCGATGGGTTTGAGCTTTCTTACCTTAAATTTATTATAATTTTATACCTGTATTTTTCTAAAAGTTAGTTATCAATGCTTATTTTATATTAAATATGATTAAATTCGTTTAATTTTTATTTTTATTCGTAGAGATTATAGTTTTCATACTATAACACCTTTAATTTTACAGTTGTCCTGTATACAGTTAGTTTTACTTTACTTATTTTAAAGGTAAACCCAGAGGTATTCGAACAGGCCGTAAGTTAAAAAATATTCGTCGTAAAAATCGTTGGCATGATAAGGACTATAAAAAAAGAAATCAGTTATCGACTTTAAAAGCCAACCCATTTGATGGTGCTTCCCATGCCAAAGGCATAGTTGTAGACAAAATGTTGTATATTTTATATGTACTTATTTCTTCAGTTTACGTATTTATTTAATACTTCAGAGGAGTTGAGGCTAAGCAGCCCAATTCAGCAATCAGGAAATGCGTCCGAGTCCACCTGATCAAAAATGGAAAGAAAATCACTGCCTTTGTGCCTAACGACGGTTGCTTAGAGTATCTGGATGATAACGATAACGTGTTAGTCGCGGGTTTCGGGCGTTCTGGTCACGCTGTGGGTGATCTTCCTGGCGTACGTTTTAAGGTCGTTAAAGTGGCTGGAGTCTCCTTAAAAGCGCTATACCTGGTATACCTTTACAAATTTATTTTTTTTTTTAATAATTTTTTTTTAGGGAAAGAAAGAAAAACCTCGGAACTAAGAGCTTTCTTTATAAATCATAAATAATAAACACTTATTTCAGAGGACTTTCAATTTTAAATATAACTTTTAGACTTTGCGCAGGTGATAACGTATTATGACTTTGTTATTTATAATTTAACCTGGCTAGAATTTTATATCTTACAAAATTTTCCTTTTTGTATATTTTTTAATTTTAGTTTAGTGTTTACATAAAATAGATAAAAAGTTTTTAAGGGTAAAAATTAGTTTAATAATATTTTATTTGTGGAGAATTCTGTTTTGTATGGAATTTTTTCCTATAATATTCAGCTTAATAACTTTGGCGTCTTTATCATATAAAGGGTGTAATTTGTATAGATGAAAATAAGCAGCCCCCAGACTATGTGGTTAGTCGCTGTCACTCAAGTTCAGGTCCGAGTCCAGAGCTATGATAATCCATTAAAAGTAAATTTATATTAAGTAAAGCATCAATTACATCCATCCGATTCGCCAGCTTCAGATGTTATTTGTTGAGTAACTTCCTATTATAAAGTGAAGTTAAGTTTTAAAAAAAATAATGCATCTCGTGTAAGATTTACTTTCTTGACTAGATTGTGGGCGTCGGGCTGTTCCGGTTCTTCCCCCGACCAAGAAAGATTATCAGAAGAAGATAAATCGAAATTATCCTCGTCATCTTTGGGCTGGCCTTCAAGATTTTTCTCTTTAAACAAAGCGACTTTGCTTTTACTAAGTTCAGAAGGATTAATTAAATCTACTCGCAGGTCGTTAGAAAATTTAAACAAAAATTGGAAAAGTGGTGACCCTCCTTTCGCTTCATAGCAACACGAGAACGCTTAGCCCCTTCTGACGACTTTTTAACTTCTATTGTTCTCTTTAACGGTTTTTGGGGCGTACTTAGATAAGATCCGCTCGTCCTGTACAAAAATTAAAAAAAAGAGTATTTATAAAAAAAAACGGAAAAGTCCAGGGAAAAAGTGGTCAACAACCTAAAGCTATTAAGACAGATATTTTACTATTAAAAAGTATAATAGTAAAGTAATGGACTTTCGTATTTATTATAAAAAATCCAAAACCTGCCCCCTCCAGCGGCCTTTACGATGTTCAAGGGGGAATCACCATAAGATACTAACTTACTCTCGACATCTACCTCAAGGGCAGAAGCTAATAAAGAATTAAACAATAGAACAGTGTGTATCACCTTCTCGGTGTCTTTTATGTTTTAAAAAAAATTTGGAAAGTGATCTTTCTAAAGTAAATATTTGTTTAACAGGGTCAAATATTAAAACACAATCTTTTTCGGAATTAGAAAGGTTCCCCGAATATATACTTGTTCCGACGGCGCCTTGCTATAGGTCAAATAATATTTAAGGAGAATTTAGTTCGAACAGGTAAAGTTAAAATAAAAAGAGTTAAACCTGAGAGTTTGGAATTTCTACCGTGACACTCTTTTCTCTTATTTTTACGGTTGAAGATTTTTCAAGAATGATTGAGGCAGGCTTAAAATCAACTAAATAATTAAATATTTATACCGATGTAGCCCATATAGAAAAACTAATAAAAAGATTACAGTGGAAACTGCAGTAGCTGAAGGCTTTATCTTTAAAACTTTTACCGAGTAAAATTCTATAAGGTTTATTCCGAGTAATACTAGAATCCATACCACAGAGAAGTGGTGTATATGAACCCCGCTATTAACCCCGTCGCTGTTATAGTTACAAGGTAAAAACATTTCTTTTTCACGAATTTTCCATGCATGTGTACTCCTACATAATACCAAAAACCAGCTTGTTACGCAGAACCAACTGCAGTGACTCAGAAGTGTCCAAAGCTTTTAAATACATGAGGGCAGCTACCCTCACTGTCTTAATCTTCCGTTGATTTGAGTGTACATACTCGTGAGCGTTGAACCTTAGAAGGCGCCACACCACCATTTCTAAAGTTTGAGGGTGCTGTGCTCCAAGCGTATTTAAATGCAAAGCATTTAATTAACATAACTTTATAATTTATTATACACAATATCCTAGTTCTGGAACCTACATAATAAAAGAGTCAAATAACCGTAAATAAGAATTACAGTTTTATTTTGCGTAAAGAAACTCTGTGGTTAACAAGTGGATATACTTCGTAAAACATGTTAACGCCATTGAACTTTACTGACTATGCAGTAATAGCATTTTAAAATGGTGCAAAGGGGGAGTAGTACAGCACTAAGTAATAGTTTGGTAGTTGCACATGCTAAATACTAATAAAGTTGCTAGTAGGCAAAGCGGTGCGTTTGTTCTCCTAAAAATGTGCGCATATGATCAAAGTTGGATTTAGAAGACCTGAAAATGGTGAGTTTCTGTTAAAAAACACGTAAGTTGTTTAGAAAAATTAGAAAATAAAACACCACATAGGCATAGAATTTTTGTCAACAACAATTACTTTAAGAAAAGTATTTGTGCGCACTAAAGATACGAATGAATCTGATCCAGTCGATGTGAGAAAAACGGTGGATTACTTAAGTACTTAAATATTGGCGCTCTTTCTTAAACTATTATAAATTTGTCAATCTCTTATTTTTACACTATGCCAAGGGCCTCATCGCGGCTGCCTTGGTCGAGTAGAGGCGAGAGAGAGAATTTGCGACTAGCAGAACCATAAAGAGTGCTTTCTTCTAAGAGTTTGAGAAGGGAAAAAGAAGCTTTCTCTGTTGTATTATCAGGTGAATTTTTCCACGGAACATAAGCCGAATAAAGAGTTAGAGACGTTTTCTTATAGAGATATGTGCTATTATAAGGCACCGCCCTAGGAGAATGTTAATTAACGCCAAATTCCATTTATTGTTAACAAAAGCTCGAAAGTTATTCCGGGATCTGAGAAAGAGTAGTTTAGAAAGATAGCACTTGAGGTTCCAATAAGCCTAAATGTTAATGTCGAGGTTAGCGAAGTTATCTAACTGGATACTTTAGCATTTGAAAGATGCATCTTATTTAAAAACCCATGGTAAACTATTATAAATGCAGACAAATGGGCCATTTAGCCAGGTTTCGAGACGACATGAAAGGATTCTCAAGTTGCGATTTTTGTGAATAATTGAATCAATTAGGGCTAGATCCGAAAGAACGATTAAAGTACAGTGTAGGAAGGTCGAAGCGGGTCAGTTTTTTTAAAAGTACCTTAAAAATAAAATACAAGCTATATAAATACATCATTAGAGACCTCAGAGCCTTCTTATACCATGTTCAAGTTTATAGACTTGGCGGGGATAACTCTATGTATGCCCAGCACAGATTTAAACCGGCACCAGATAATTGGCTAGTAGGTATCATGTTTTGGTCAAGATGACTGAAAAGCGAAAAATTATAAATAGCATAAGAAAGGAATGAAATACAATGTCAAATTAAAGATTGGGTTGCTCATAATAACGTGCTCGACACAATGACGCTACTTAAAAAGCCGTAGATTTATTATGCCAAGACTTATGGCAAAACGCGAGCTTCAACAGGAACAAGGCGGGAAAAATCACCGGTCATGCGTAGTTCCAACAGAAAAGCACATTGGTGACTCCGTGTTAGTTCGAGGTTGTTTGCCAGCGTCAGAGATTTCTCAAAATTTTCTGGGATCATGCTGTGCAAGAAAATTATCTTCAAAACTTGGTAACCAGTGCGGTGCCCCGGCGAGTGCGATTAATCGGTAACAGTTTTACCTTAACGCAGGACAGGGCCCTAAACACATCACTCGGGCGAGCAAAACGTTCTTGGCAAGCAAATAAAGAGGAAGGCACCATCCAAATAATGGCGTGACCTAAAGTCCGGACTTTAATTCAATCGAAAAATAATGGGATGAACTAGATAGGAATTTCAGGAAAAATGTGACATCAACGGAAATTTGGTATCCAGCAGGAAACGTTGAAAAAATTGGTAGAAAGGATGCCGAGATTAATGCGCGCAATTATTGCATGCATGGGGGGATTTTTTAAGGCGACTAAAATTTTATTTTTTGCTATTGTACGTAGTCTTGTAAATACGATTTTGCTGTAATATGTATAACTGTTTACTAGGGAATTCGCTACAAGTAATATTTTATCTGGCTTGATTAAATTGCACCAAGAAATACATCTTTTATCAACTTTTACAGTTGTTCATTCTTCCGTGAGCGATAGTGTATATATTAAGCTTCCCCCTATAGATGGGAGCGTTTAGTTAAGAAGGTTTGGCTGATGTTTTGTAGTAATAGTCGTCTCTTTTGGTGGTAACCTTTCTTGTTTTTTTTTCACACTAGGTTAAATGGCCTAGTCTCCTCTCCGGTCCCTAGGGATGGTCATAATATTCCTTTGAGAGAGTAATCCTGGAGGGCAATAAACCCCCAACCCTTCGAGAAGGAAAATACAGTTTAAATACACATATATATATATATAGAAATGAAATTATCCAAGGTAAAAACCTACAAGGTTTCATCTTTTTAAAGTTCTACTTAAATAGAACAAACTATTTACTTTTCCCTAGCTGGAGGTTATATACGCCAAATAGTATCTTAAGCTCAAATTTTTTAAGAACCGCGCTATCGTGAGAGTAAACATAGTCTACAAAACATATGGATGTACATTTTTCTTATAAAACAGAAATAAAGGAAGACTGGTCGGTCCCTAGGAGGCCCTTGAGTCTAGTTACTCGTGGCATCTCACTTGATGGTGGTATTTAGAGGTTTTCCACCACCTTAGACCTAATGAAAGGAGTGCGGTTTGGTATACACCTACGCTTCTCCATAGTCCTTCGGAGCAGTTATGAGGCCCCCTCGGAGCGATAAGGGCACCACTACCAACAGATCAGGACTGAGCTCTCTGTAACAGCTTAACTACGGAAGCCTTCGGGATCGGGAGTTCTCGTCGTTGCTCAGCGTTTAAGAGCATTAACGGACATACTCAAGGTCGTGGGTTCGAGTTATACCGACACAACCCTCCTTTTTCGTTTTCGAAAGTTGCGTGTATAACCTTGTCCTTATAAACCCTGATAACCTGCGCTCGACTTCATATTACCGACCAAATTTTTGGAAAAATAAAAAGAGTGAAGTCAGTCGCTCTTCTCGCGCGTCCGTGCCTTTTTCGTTTTTTGTTGGCTGTAGTCTCCAGTCCGTAGGTCTAATTTGATCTGTTTCGTAAAAAATTGGTAGCATTGCAGTTATAGATTTTATTTCACAGAGCTAGAGCTAATCTTCTAAAACGTTACCTTATAGCAATTAGTTTTCCAAAAGTGGTTTTTAGTAATTATCTAGTTAATAAAACATATTTTTGATTACCAAAGGTTTTATTTTAAAAGACTCAAGGCCACCCCTAGTTCTTCGCATTGCGAAGTAGACTTTTTAACTTTAAAGCCTGAGGGAAGATAGTTATTCAGATGGATTGGGTCTGAATCTGGATCTGTATAATAAGCGCTATACTCATATACCAATTTTAAAAGGGCAATTCTGATTTTTAAAGGTTCAGTATAAAAGGCAGAGAATGTGAAGGCTGCGACTGCTAAACAGTGTAATGAGAGGGTAACGCAAGGGGCTCAGGTTGTAAAAGGTTACAGCGCCAATTGAAATCGGTTGTAGTTGCAGTCGACAAAAAGTAAAAACCTAAAAGCTTAGTCATCGTCAACTCCCCTAATAAGTATTTTGGAGAAGAAAAAGGTTAACAGTTTAACAAGCACTGGGAATTTAAGAAAGGTGTGCTACGGTCGTGGAAAGCCTTTGCTGACTTGAAGTTAAAGCGAAAATACACAAATATTACTTAGATTTTGGTACACTTAGAAAAGTCGGTAACTACGACGAGCAAAGTCATATGTTATATATAATTTTCCTATAGTAGATGCTGGGAAAATATAGAAAGTACAAGTAAATCCTATCTCTTAAAGTGAACCAATTTTTATCAGTACTTGATTGTAAAGAACTATTGTTTCCGCCCAGTGAGGTTATGTCCCGCTTCTCTACACACAGTTAATACCGCTCATACTAAAACTAACTGGGGATTTAAAAAAACCGTGTACGCTAAGGCTCAGCAAAAAGCTTTTTTGACAGTCTAATAGTGCACAACATAAATAATTTTTTTAAAAAAATTAAATGATCAACATCAGTAAATTACAAAAGCTGTATGCAAAAAAACTGACAACTCTCAACGTGATAGTCATAAGAAATAACGAGCATCTATTAACTGTTATTTTATTATTGAATAGGGTTGGCAAAGAAGTAACTTTTTTTAGGTAAAATCACATCTAAATTATAGATGTTTCCCACGACGATGTTTTTTCCATCTTTTCAGGTATAATTCTTTGGCCCGTAGGCTCTAAAAAGTATATACTTAATAAAGAACACCAAACAAAAGCAAGACCAAACATTAGCAGAGAGTTTTTTCTTAACATTTTCTCGAACTTCCCTTAAGGTGGGCTGAAAGTAATAGAAGGGGTGAACAAATATTTTAGTATTAAAAAAAGTAGACTTAAAAATAAAAAATAAACTTTTGGTGCCAGCTTTATTAAGCCCAGCTTTTGAAATATTTTGGCTACGGACGGTATAATAGCAAGAGACAAGAAAATTCTTAGAGGGGAAAATAACTATATACGGAATATTAATTTCTTTATAAAAAAACAGATATAAGAATATGTAAACTCCTACCTTGTGGGCGGTAAGTGCTATCACGAATGTGCTACTACCTTCAGGAAGCCAAGAAATTTCTTTAACGTGAATTCCTTTCTACCGTGTTAGAAATAAAATACAACCAAAGAATTTTTTAAATATCCAATATGCTTTAGTATATATAGTTTTTCTTTTTTACGCACTGATTCTAAAAGTCCCTCCACATCAACACCTGATTTTACAAGCACGTAAAAGCCGGTCAAGGAAATAATGTCGAGTATTATATAGGTTCCAATAGCTAGAAACCCATAGTGCTTCATTAAAGCTTTAATTTTAGAACTCAAACTATTAGAGGATACAGAGTTTGCGACTTCTCCGGAAAGCGTTCTTTTTTCAACTTTTGAAGCAAAAGCATTCAGTAAATACCGATTGAGAATATTGTTGTTATGTTCTTTATTTAAAAAAAATATCAAGACATCGATAATAGGTCAGGGGAGTTAAAAAGAAGTTAAGTGAATGGATTATACCATATTGTAAGTAACTAAAAAGAGAATTTTCGAAGCACTTTTTTTCTTTACCAGGATAAATATAAAGGCGGGAGTGACAAAATTCTCTGCGTAAGGATTGATAAAAAGGATTATTACATAAACATATATTTCCTTGGGAAAACTTTAAGTAGGGAAAAACATGCCGGTAGTACGAAGTTAAAGGTTTTTTTGCCAGACGAAAAGTGTTTTGAAAAACTGCAATGGGATTAGCACAAAGTATCATAATGTGACAATGGGCTGCTTTTAGCCCTAAAATTTTTAGGTAGCGCGGCTTTGCCACTTATTACTATAAAGTTGTTTAAAATTAAGGGCTTTAAGAATACTTTAAATACGCTCTTGTGGAAACGTCGCTTCAATGCATAGTAGTGCTTATTACTACAAACTAAAGTAGAAAATATGGTAAATAATTAAGAGCTAGGAATCATTATTTTTATTTAAAGATTTGTAAAACAGTGTCGCCTAATCTTTTTGTGTAACAAAGAAAAGGACAAGGTTTTACACTTTTATTTAAGGTCAGCACATAATTTTGTTGCTACAACGAGTGTATGGTTCCTAAAGCGAATAGCTTGCTTAGGAAGAAAGCAAGGGGCAAACCCATCAAATTAATATAAGTGCAAGGTAAAATATATTTTAACACTATTTCTAACTAAACTTGCCCAGCACATAACCCAGGTGAGCACACATTTTGTTGTCTAAGCTTTTCTTTTTAATAGAATTATTGAGATCACACTTATAACAAAGCTATATATTAGCTTATTTCCGGTCTTTCATAACCATTTAGGAAATTAGTTTAGGGGATGAAGAAACGTAAGCAATATTTCTTACCGTTTTAAACCCACACTTTTCCTAAATTATCTCATCGAATTTGATATCACACTTGTATAGTGTAAACTGTCATCTACGGCTATATAGTAGTTATGGATACGCATGCTTATTATTGTCTTTCTGCTCGAAAATTAAAAGACGAATCATATATAAGGGGTGTAATATATATATCCTTTATATTTTTAATCGACTGCTTACAGGGTGCTACCTGCTTAAGTTCATTCATAGCAAAGTTTATATCCTTAGTTATCCTACTAAGCCAAGCGCTACTTAAGGGGGTAGAAAATCAATCTATCAAGTCTTAAATCACACCCTTTCTTACCTTACTAAATGATTTCACTTTAACTTTCGTTTCGCTGTATTCAGTTCATCATCTATTATTAGTAATAACCAATTGGATTCTTAATCTGTCGAGATTACCGCAACTTCTAAAGAGGACGCCTTGAGTTGGGCGCGGATTAACCGTTATAAAGTTACATGAGCTCAACACTCATCCTTACCCTTATGACGAATAAGTTGTTAAGAACTCCTTTATCACCAAATTGTAGTAGCTCAGGCCAAGGGCGGGGGACCCTGTTTAGGTCCCAGGTCTCCTTGAAGTTGGCTCCCAAGCGAGCTCAGAAATTAAGGGTTTATCTCTTGCCCGACCCCTCTTTGGTCCTGGAGACTCCATGAACTTCACTGCCTGAGTTCTGCCCATTTAAGGTAGGCGTCCACTTTTTGGAGGATCGGAAAGCCAAAAGATAAAGAAAACGCAATATTTTTGACTTTGAAAATATTTTAAGGGGTCAGACGACTATACAAAAGATGCTTTAAAAGGTGATTCTACTAGAATTTGTTCATAGGAAAGTTGCAGCGACGGGAAACGAACCCTCGAAATGAGGTTGCGCGACAACGCTCTTACTGAGCTACGGTGACATCTCACATTTTCGGTCGATTAATAAAGTATACAACTCTTGTTATATCCGAAAGTTTTTAATGTCTTACTGTCTTTAGTTTTAGTGCGAGCATGCTTATAACGTTTAAAAATTTGTAAGATTGAGGTTAAAGACGCGACCATCAAAACTGGAAAAGAGAGCCACGTCGGTGGATATCGAATTCAAGGCCTTGAGTTTGCTCAACGATGCTCTTAACTGCTGATTTACGACCACAATTCTCGATCCCGAATATGATGGTTTTACGTATTTAACCTGTTACATTCCTCGTGGTTAGTATATTTGTAGTAAATGGCCAGGTTTTACTATATGAAGTTGTGCTAATATTTGCCTAATGACATTTATGATATTTAGAGACTCCGCAACATTTTTTAAATAAGTATATGTAAATGACTGGCAGTCTAAGAAGTAACAAGTTTTTTATAAAGTACTATAAATAGGTAACTGAAAAGGAGAAGTTCGTTATGAAGAGGATCTGATACTACTCCATTCTATAAAACGTCATTATAATGTAACAGGTTAAATACGTAAAACCATTATCCCGGGATCGAGAATTGTGGTCGTAGCTCAGCGGTTAAATGCAGTGACCCGCAGAGACTCTCTTTCCGGTCTGTGATGACCGTGTATATAACCGCGTCCTCATATATTCTAATATATCACTTAATTGTTAGTCCTATTTAACTTGCGTCAATATTAAAGCTCTGTTTTTTTGTTTTTTAACCTCTTTCTTCCTAACATCTTGTGGCCAGTATATTATAAATTATCTTTACTTCTGTTAAGTCTTTTCTTCTGTTATTACCTTTCTTAATATTACTTAAATCTTACTTGTTCTTATTTTTTTATTATTATTTATCTCTACCTTACGTTACTTTTCCATCTTGGTAGAATATTACGATTCAAACTATAACACACATTACTGAGTAGTAAGAGGGTTGTAAGTACCCGGAGTGTTTCTTTTGATTATACTGGTGAATATATTTTTCAATAACTGATAGAACTTTTTTGGATATAACCCTTCGTCACTTAAGCGCCCTGTTTCATTTGTTTTGGAATGTTATAGTATTCAGGTTATTTGTTAGATCTGTCATTAGAAGATTAGTTACTGAAAAAAAAAAACCTTTTATAACCCAAGTTATAGAATATTATGAAGATATAAAGTGCAAAATTAACCAAAATTATCTTAATAAAAACTCAAAAGCTTTTTAACAATGATAAATAAGGCAAGCTAGAGACTAAAAATAATAGATAAGCAGATAATATTAAAAAACAACTGTTATTAAAAATAAGCTGTAAGAATAAATAAAGAACAAGTGAGAGTTAAAGCAATACAGTCAAGAACATAACCAACCGGCGCTATATTATGAATATAATATAACCTGAAGCCCTCCCAATAGTTGGGGGGCCTGTTATATACCCATCCTGGCGAAAAATAAGACCTCGTGCCTGCAAAATTAGGTACTAAACACAGATTCTCAGGACTATATTGTAACCCTGCCATGGTTAACAGTTGACTTGTCTTTGGAGATTATAAACTACTCTTTTTTATCTGCTTCCTGCATTGAATAAATATAGGTTAGTGGTGCAAAGCTCCATTCTAGTTAATACATACATTTCATTTCCGGGTCTTGAAGATGAGGTGATCTCGTGACGTTCTATCTTACGGCTACCTCCGTTGCGTTGTTAATGTCTTGTTTAACTTTTTTTTTTGGTGTTATTAAAGTATTATAATATCTCATTGCTTACGGTTAAAAAAAAATTAAAACCCCTAAGTAGTAGCACTCGTGTCTAGGAGAATTGATACAAAGAGCTAACGAGATCAGCTAATGAGCCCATTAACATATTTTTTTATGATAATAATAATCTAATACTCATAATATCCTTTCCGACTCCTATAATCATTTTTTTCAATTTTAATGTAATGAACGTTATCTTTTGCTGCGCCTTAAGGGTGTATTATTTTAGTTATAGGTGAATATTTATCTTCAGATATCAGTTTTTTTATCTGTTTTTTTGGGTGTTGAGTTCTATGTAGACTTGAATTGCCGCTGTTTCTGTCTTACTCCTGTTATAACAAGTTTATTTACACTTTATTTCTTATTTTGAGCAGGGCAGGGTAAGTCAGCTGTTTATTGTAAAGTCATTATATGGGTAAAGTACTGTCTTTTTTTGGTTATTATTAATTACCTTCTACCAGCATGCCCAGCTAAAAATTTAGGAACTGAAGGATTTAGTGGAATCGTATATACTCTTAATCACTGGAAAACTAGCAAAAATTCTTCATTGTAAGTAGCGAACTGTAGCATGAAGCCTGAAAAGTTATAAAAACCACAAAAACTTAGTAAAATCCCTAACAAGCTCGTTAACGTGGTCTTATATATTTTTGAATTTTACTTTCCTACCGGCATTTCATCCTTCACTTGTCTTGCTATATTTTAGTGAGCTAACTTTAAATGAAGACTTTTATGGCTAGGCAAAGGTGCAAACAAAAGTGATAAATGAATGTTTTTAAAAGGGTGTAGATCCAAGATTGGGGACGGAAATGATTTTATTATATACCAGCATCACTGGCTTAGAGAACAACTTTAGCACAATGCGTAAATCCAATGCTGATGTTTTCTTCCATGACGCTCATAACCATTTAACAAAAATTTGTGGTCCTCGGATAATAAATACATTTTCTAAAAAAAATAGCAGTTTGTTTTATATAACCCCTTTTAAATAATAAATACTAAAGAAAAATGTCGGTATTTTTCCATTTAAATTAATCAATATACCGCTATTCGCATAGGTGCTAATAAATTAAGTGGTGGTTAACAGATTCCGTTAATGCGCTATGGGAGGTTAAGTATTGTTTTTGATAAAAAAAATTAAAAAATTATTATTATATACCAATGGAAACAAGAGAGAATAAAAAATTTTTTTTTAAATATGAATTGTGTTTTGAATAATATCGGAGTTAATTGAGCCTTAGAGAGTGCATTATAATTTTTTTTTAAATTTTGGTGCACCTACCTAACAAATTTGGTAAGGTAAGTAAATCTTTAGCAAGACGTAAGTTTTGTTTAATGTTGTTTTAAGTTAATTCTTTTTCCAACTTTAATTTCTTTAAATTTTATTAGGGTCTACATATTATTTCTATTTTTTGTTATTAAAGTGTTTTACGCCTTCGAGGATTAAACATAACCAGGCCCCGGCAGTTATAAATGAAGACACCTAGCAGTTATGTGATTTCAACCTTTAGAACATGTAATTCCCCTTCAAGTTGGAATACGCAATCAAAGAAACCAAGATAAAAATAGAGTCTTTTAAACCTAGAAGACAACATTTAAATTAAAAGGCTTTAAAAGTTCGACTCCTATGGTAATAGTAATATGATTAATGTTATGATAAATTAACAAAATTAATGCAGCATAAAAATTGACATAAGTAAGATTATTTTTTAGTTTCTACGTAAATAAGTAAGGCAAAAAATTATATAGTTGTTCTAATATACATATTAAAAGAAGTACCTTGAGGTTAAATAAAACTACATTAAAACTTTTACTTACCAAAGATATTATTTTGTAAGCCAGAAGAGGCATTTCATTAAAAATAGACGTATTCATGTTAATGTCAATAAAGATCGCTTTGGCGAATATTTGCACGAAGAGACCGTTTACATTTTCTAGTTCATTTAATATTAATGGTAAAAAATATGAGTTTTATTAGTCATTCATATTATCCTGCTCTTTAGCTGCAACTTCCTAATTAAATATTTGAAGGCCTTGGGTGTGCTCTGAATACTAAACAATACTTGCTAAGGTTATCGTGTAACCTTTTTGTTGGCCCTTAAAATTCTTTTTCCCAACATTGCAGTGTATAAGTGTTACTTTCATTCTATTAACAGACCTACATTTTTTAATAAAACTGATAAGTGATTGATATTAGTAAAATGGATCCAAAGAACTTTGTTACCGAAAATGTAACAATTTTAAATGCGTAACTTACTAATTCTAAATATAAACTATAAAGGAATCAAGTCCATATTATTTGGACAGCCATTGGATAGCTCAACCTGAAAGGTTTTTTCCTATATAGTTGTGTTTTCGAGCGAGCTAGGCAATATTATGTAAGATTTGTTAAGTTATTTCTCATTTAATTTGGTTAGATTTTACAGCTGCTGCTTTAAAACTTCACACTTTATAACCTAATATTTCTATGAAGGGTAATCATTAATCCGTTACTTTTGGCTTATTGTTATAATAGTTTCCTTAACGTAAGCGAAACAAGATAATTTATGGGGTGAACTTGTAAGAAGAGTAGCTGTAAATAATTTGAAACCACATCCCATTCATTTGTGCAGGGGCCGTAGGCTAGCCCTATAATAACAGGGTTACTTATATTTTTTTACTAGTGCAGACTCATAAATAAGAATTTTTCAGTTAGAGTTTGTGACTTAGACTTAACGCTTTCGGTATTTAAATTTGTAAAACAGCTATACTTGTTTGCTTGTTCACTAAGAACTGGAAAAATGACAGTTTTCTTTTTTTTAAAGGGAGACTAATAGAAAGTCATTAAAAGATCACCTTTACAAAAGAAAGTGTAGTTATAAGGCTCTGATAAAAACTTAGATAAAATTGATTTAAACTGAATATAACTAAAATTACGGGATTATGTGCTATTTTTAATGAAATTACCAACTTATCTTTTATGGATGCAGCTCTAATCTTGATCCTGTTGCAAACTGCGTAGTAGAAGCTCGAATAATTCACTGTTTGAATGAGCTATTAGTGGCGGAGCAGATAATTAAATCTTTAATACTAATAAATTTTGAACTTTAAATAAATGAACTTAATTGTTAGTTTGTTTAAAAAAAAATTATTTTTTATACTCTTACTTTTAATCAAAACTTTTTTTTTGCTGAAAAGTTGCCCTCCGCTAAAGGTAAACATTTTAGTTGACAGCGCCTCACGAATATTATTACTTGTCATAAAGTTACTAAATATACCCATAATTTTTTCCAAACGAAATAAGAAATTTAAGAAGATATGGAGCTACACATAATCAAGCCCATTAATTTTGGCCTCCGTTGCGAACCAATAAATTTTTACAGCTGTACCCCATTTCCCAAGTGTTGATTTCACAAGCTATAAAAACTTTTCAATATAAACAAGCAAAAATATATAAAATAGGTATATTATAAACAGAAATAAGCACTTTAACATTTCGTTATAAAACTTAAGCTGTTTAAGGAGCACAATATGTACTGGCTATAAAACTAACAAAAGAAAAAAAAAGGGCGTATAGCGCACTAAAATTCTCCTTTGTATCGGTGTCCTTTATGAGTTAGCCCATATAACAGTTGATAATTTATTTTTTAGGTGGCTGCGCCTATATACTTGGCATTGAACAAGGCGACGTTATTCCCCCAAACAATAATAAATTAATAAAAAAAATTTTGCCCGAGGAAAGAACAAAATTAATATGCTACGGTTAGCAACAGCTCCCTTTAGGTAAGCGAGCTGTGCTGGACCTTCTCAGCAGCTTAAAGAAGAAGAGTGGGTTGGTACAATATTTTCAGTCAATACCTAAAGTGCAATTAAAACCCTGTCTACCTCTAAGTTAATGTTATAAAATATAAAAGTTTAATTGACTTACAGCTTATTTTCGGCTTTAAAGTTTTAAATTAGAAATTGAAGTTTTTCTAATCTTATAACTTATTGTAAAATTTATTGAAACAATGTTTAAGGCAACAATACAGTTTTGGCTTTGAAATCGTTAAAAAAAACAATTTAAATGTTGGTGAAACCTTTTAATGCAATAGGGGATTGTATGAGTTTTGAAAGACCAAAACTAAAGATGTTAAAAGTTTTAATATTGTTATATAGTAAAAACAGGGTTCTCGTCTCTTTTGGAATATATACCAGAAAAATAATTACTAAACTTTTAACTTCAGAAACTAGTAGGAAATAGGGTTGAAGTAGTTACAAATGGAATAACAATATAAAACACAAAACTAGGAACTGCGAACCAGAGCATAACGAACAACGCTAGAAAGGAATTTCATGTAAAGTTTGCAGTCTTTAGTAAATTCTATATAATATGAATAACTTTAAGTAAAATAAAATTATGTAAAAATTGCTCCTTAATTTTTCGTAGGGTTTAGCGCGGGTTTACAAAGAAAGATATTTGTTACTTATTCAAGTATTCAATTCAGTAAGACAGTTTTACCGAGGTAAATGTTATAGTAAATAGCGTTTAATTTTTAATTATTCTATAAAACCGAAATCTTTAACTATAATATACTCTTCATATAAAAAAATAAAAATAGGTCCCTATGTGCCTATATCTTTCCTCCTCTCTTCATTGTTTAAACCTACACAAAAGTTAACTTAAATATACAACGGAGCTATGTAAAGAGTGTAAGTTAAAAAAATTCTGATTTTGAGGTTTTCTTTGACTATTTATTAGGCTTTCAAGATCAATAATTTAGAAGAGTAAATTAAGAAAGCTTCTTTTACAGTAAACTTACAATATTTAAACTGTTTTAAACACTATTGAATATAATAATATTTAGTAGTCTTCGAATTCATCGTCAAAACGTTTCGAAAAAGTCTCCGACCCTTTTTGTGTAGACTTTTCCGTGAAAATTTCTGAGGAAACCCAGGGCCTTTGGTTTTTAATATCTTTTTGTAACAAAGTAATAAGGTTTGAAAACTAGTTTAAAAGAAGGCATATAAAAACCCGAAACTAGAGGAATTGCGTTACGAGAAATAAAAGTTTTAAGTAGAACTGAGGAGCCGTCACTGTACACAAAACGTGAATAATATGAAGTGGGATAGGTCGAGTCGCAATATTTTCGTGCTACTTTAATATCCGTGCTTTTGTATAAATACTTAATTATTACGAACTAAATAAAAAAAAAGTTTTACCTGTGCCTAACAAATGTCAGAGAAAAAAAATTTACCGAAAAAAGTTGCTTCCTCGCAGGTACGATCATGATTGTATATTTAAAAGCGAAGGTAGTAAGGTAACTTTATAAGTGGCAGCCGTCCTAAACTTAAAAGGAATTGGAGAGAGCGCACCGGTGAAAAGCATTTCATTTCGTACAATCTAAGAAGTCAAATTTTTAGAAGTCCAAGTACTGCGTTTGTGACCACGGAGACTCTCCCCTTGCAGAATTTGGAGAGACTACTCCTGACATAGGGCTTGAGTATTAGATGTTGTTAACTCAACTGAGCACCAGGAAGAGTCATTTATAAATTAATAAATTAATATCTCAAAGTGATTACTGCCCCTTTTAGAGTTTTTCTCGGTTTTAAAGCTATTACAACTTTCACGACTCTTATATATAATAGGCTTAGTAGTTATAAAGAAATTTGATATATTATGATACTTTTATTGACGGCTTTAACGAAGCGTTTTTTTGCGGAACTGATGGCAGAATTTTTTATTATTTTCAATATTGCAAGAATAAAAAGGTGATAAAAAGTATTTTTATAAATTTAAGTTTAGCTTAAAAGGGGGACCGCTTCTGAAATTCTTCTTTATTATAGAGGGAAGTTTAAGAAGTTTATAAATAATTGTATTATTTAAAGACTATGGCGAGTCAGAAAAAAAAAAGATATCAGTAATATCATGACCCTAGACTTAGTTTTGCCATAAAAATTATTAAAAAAAAAAACATGTATTGAAAGATAGCTAAAGTATTATGAAAATTAAAAAACTGTGAAAAGTTAATTTTTTTTTTTTAAGTGTACGCAATTCTATTGATTCACACAATTTCTTCTTACAATTCCTGTGCCGGTTTATGTTTTTTGTTCGCAAACTAAACTTGACTGCTCACTAAAAGAGGCGTTATTATCGATGATTGGCTCTGAGTTGGCATTTAAATTTAAGAAAACCTATTATTTATAATACAAATAATTTAGATTTTAAGTCAAGCTCTGTTGAAGAAGCTGCTAGCAGGCTAGTTATAATTATAAAGCGTCCTTCCATATATTTGGCAATATTTTGTTAATATTGAATAAAATAAACTTATTTTTTAATGAATATACTGATAAAAATATCGTAACTTATATATTACAATTTTATCTCTTGTGTATTATTTACGAATATCTACAAAACCCTGACGTTATTGACAGATGCATTTCCTGTAGAATTACTGGGGTTAGAAAAAGTAAAATATTAAAGTTTTTTCTCAATATAGTCTCTGTTTGTCAAGAAATTTTCCATTTAATAACGTTAAAAACCCTAAAAACGATAATTAGTTGGTGCCCAATATGCAGAGTATGTGGTAAAAAAAAAATTTCCTGAATTTCAACTTTTGTCGGGTGATATATAGGCAGGTTTGGATACGCTATATGTAAAAAATCTAGGTGCTCTCAACGTTTCCTTGAGAGGGCTACAGTAAGTTAATATATGGCAGTTTGTCGGTTTAAACTAGTCGCTACAGAAAAATATATATAGTTCATATTACAGGTCGCTATTAGCTTCTAGATAAGATAATAGGATATTTGCAAAATATTGTCAATGGAAGTGGAAACAACCATTAAATTTACTCAACTCCAATAAATTTTTATGGTAATAAATATTGACACAAAACGAATACCCAAATACCTGAAAATACGAAAGTAAAAAAAGACAACACTAGGGAAGCGGGGATGAACTAAAGTTGAACATTTGAGTTCTCGGTTTTGAATTAGAACGCCTAAAGAGGCAAAAGCCAAATTTTGAAATGTTCAGCAAAAATCAAAGAAACAATAAATTACGACTCTCTTCACTGTAGACATCGTATTTATAAATCCTTTCATTTTTTAAATTGTTTAGGACTCAGTATTCAATACAAATAATCATTCTTTGAGTAAATTAATACGCAACGCGTATCCAAAACTAAAGCTATTATAAATTAGTTGACAAAGATCTTGGTATATTATGTAAACAAAGCATACTAAATAAAATTTACAACTACTGAGGTTTTTAAAAAAGATAAAGCACAGCCTAATGATATTACAATAGGGTATTGCTATTAAACTAGTTTAAGACAACTTCAAATGAGAGCCTAGGCTAGTCACCGTTATTACTAACTTGACACTACTAAAGAGTACCTTCCGTATGATTGTATTTTAAATATCATATAATGCTGCTTAATTTAAGGAGAAACGAAAGGAGTAAAATATTTCCTTCTTTCTCCTTGGGTACGTACTAAAATAATCCGTTTCTTTTTTTTCGATATAAAAGCTTAAAAAATTCTCCTTTTAGCCCTATTTTTATGGGTAGTATATTTATACCGAAAAAAAAGAAAAAGTCGTTCCTTTAACTATACGTATAAAAGTTTAAGTAAAGATTCAGTATACGTGGTTACAACTTAGTACCCGTCAAGTTTTCTTTAGTATAACCTAAATTCCTCGCGAATATCAAAAGCTTTACATACAGTCTATATAATAGTCCAATGCGCTCGTAAACCTCTTTACTCTCCTTCAAAGCTAACAAAGCCCACTTGCTTCTTGCTTAAGTTCGTGAAATAAATACTTTACTCTTTTATGATTTCAGCTACTTTCTTAAGTTTTTAAAGAATAATATTCAATCATTCTTTCTTTAGATATAATATTGTGAAATTTTTGGAACCTTAAGGTATGCATGAAGAGAAAAACATATACCAGGAAAGGAACTCTTAAAAAGAAAGGCGTTCACTTTAAATATTTACTTTCGTGTAAAATGTTTAAAAAATAAAAATGAATAGTTTACTACGTTTTTTTATAATATTTAATTTAATTACCTTGTAAGATTATTCTCCTTTAATATAATATAATTTAGTGGGATATAACTAACGTTTTCAAGTTTTATTTGAGTTCATTGGAAACTAGTGCTTTTTTTTTTTTAACCACAAAATATATTAATTTTTGTTTCTTATGACCTACTTTGCTTGTTATTTAATTTACTATTATAACTTTTATTTTCAATAATTTTTATATTTTTTATGTTTTTTAGTAGACATTATTTTTTGTGAAAATAATTCTTATTGGTGTTATAAAGGGAGTTAGTCAAATTTAATTTAATAGTTAGAGTTAAATGAAAATTAAATAAAAAAGTTATTTAAAACTTTTTTTTAGTAGTTATTGTTAATATTTGCAAGAACAATACTGACGGCGACCTTATCATTAAACTATTGATCCAGGCGATGCTTTTCTAATATCTTCCGAGTCAAAACCCGAGGACTTTATATCTACTCTTTACTTTCGGAATCTTGTGTTAAACATAAATGAATATTTACTCCAACGCAACTTTACTGCCGCTTTAGATGTTTTGCAAGTGTTACTCCATTGTTATGATAAAGTTCCCGAAATTATTTGGAAAGTAAATTTTATATGTACATTCTTTCCATAATTTTTTAATAGTTCTTTCACTTTTTTTAAATTTAAATCAGTTAATTCATTATTATTTTCAATTCGTATTAATAAGTTTTTACTTAGGCAGGACTAGAAATACTAAATCGTTTTCAGAAAGAACGGCAGCAGTGTCTATTTTTCTTTCGGCGTCTTCTTTCTTTGCGTGTAGCTAACGCTGATGTATGTAAAGCTTTACTACCTATTCACTTTAAATTTTGCTTGCTTTGAAAGTTTTAAAATTTAAAATCCTCTAAATTTTATATAAGTCGAGTTATTACATATATTTGGGAAAATTATTCTTTAGACTCTTCCCTGTGGTTAGCTCTATGAGTTTTACACTAATGACTACTGTACTATTTTATATATTATAGTTATATTAAGCTAAAAAAAATTTATACTCTTTAAAATTTGTTAATTTAAGATTATATTCCGTACGAAGTTTTCCAAAATCGGTAGTACCATTTCTTAATTGTGATTCGCCAATTCTATTACTAATATATAATTATTTTTTACTATAAGCCACTTTGTAATCTTTTTTATTTAGAAGGAGACGATTATTCTAGAGATTTTCTTTTTTCATCTCTCCGAAGGTAAACCTACTATTCTCCAAAATCTGCTTTTGCTGGAGGGCTTTTCAGGAGAAATGGAAGAAGCATACGAGACGCTGCGGCCTTTTCTTACACTGGAGCCTTATTTTCAAAATCCCAAATTTCATGGTCCTTTTTTCTTTGCATTTATAGAATTGTTAGCAATTATTGTTTATTATTAAGTTCATCAACTAAAAGTTTTTAAGGGATGCTGTTAGGTCACTGCTTGTAGTTTTTTTGCTATTTTTTTTGTAAAGTCCAGCTAAAAAAGCGATAGTTTTACTTTTTGCATTCTATTTTTAAGAATTTGCTGTTAAGGAATATTTAATCTTATTTAAAGGCTATGCGGGAATGGCCTGCACATCGCTGTGGTTTACAGCTCTAAAGAAATCTTCGCAAAGTAATTACGCCAACGAAAATTCTATTTTCTCCATACTTTACAGCCTCTTCCTCTACAGAGTTACTAACTTTGCTTGGTAGGATCCAGCCTCGAGCCCTCCCCGTCTAGCACGTGGCCCTGCTCTTTCCCAGGCTGCTCCAGTCAGTCCAGTCTGGAAAGGTCGGCAGATTTGTACTTTCGCAGCGCTCTCGAGCACTTTGAAACGTGCTTTAAGTTGCCCAACGCCTACCAGAAATCTTTTGTTTTATATTATTTTCGCGTACGTTTACTTTTTTTATATTTTTAATTGTATTTTTTCCGTTATGTATTCTATACTAACTTGCATTTATTATGTGGAATTGTTTTTACTACAGAAAAAAAATTAACATAATTCCCAGAAGAAAATAACAACTAATTAAATAGTTTTTAAATTTTTTTTAAGCCGTTTTGAATGAATAAAGTACTCAATAGAGATTTTTAACAACAGTTACTTGAACACGAGAACAACAAGAATGGCATCGAAAACCTTTTGAACAAGCTCAGACGAGATGAACCGAAGGATATCTTTTGGCTGAAGTGCCTTTTTTTTATGCGTCATTGCTCTGAATACGTCAGAGATTAGATTTCTCGTAGATGCTCCATCGCGTTTCTTTTGGGGCAAGCAGGCATGGAGAGCGCCGCTGAGGCCTGCAAGATCGACTTCTTCGCATGCAACGGATCTGCCCGAGAAGACAGTCTACTAGAAGTTGTCTTCAGTTCACGTGTTCTGGAGTTGGTAGAGGAACTGCATCTTCTCAGTCCGACAGACTCTCTTTTATACTATTTCTTGGAAACAAACGCACGTTCGCTAAATTATTATTATAATTATTACTATTATTATTATTCTAATCATTATTATTATTAATATTATTATAATTATACCACCAGCACTGAGCCCCATGCTCCAGTTTGCTGTTGTTCTGAGCTTCCTTGACTACGAAAAGCACTCCTGTGGATTTTTATGGGGCAAACTAATTCAATTACTTTTGGATGCGGATCAAAAGTAATAACAGTATAACTTGTACCACTTCTCGCTTAAATATTTTTGTGGTTAAATCTATAAATGTACGCACGATCCAGACAAGTACTCAACCAGCCGGCCTGGAAAATGCGGAAAGACTGGTAACACTGGCCATTGTTAACTTTTTTTTTTCTAACTTATAAATTTGTCATTAATATCGAGGTGGCCGGAAATGAAATTTTCGTTGCCGATAGCGAACGACTTGCAAGAGTTGGCTTGTAGGGCAGCTTGTGCTTTTTACTTTTTGGGTTATTTACTTTTTGATCAAGGATTATTAAATGCAATTACGGATGATAATTATACCGTTAGGAAGCAATGACTACACGAACAAAGCATTCGAAATTTTTAAGAATTTCAAAGAAAGCCACTTTGCATTAGAAAATTGGTGCGATAAAATTCGCTTAACAAATAAAATCGACTTTTCCGTATAATAATAATATAATTAAGTTTTTATTAAGTCAACAGGTCGGTTTTTTTAAGTTCACTTGCAAGCACGACTCCGCAAATTGCAATTACTGTCACCCCCATTCACCGTAGCAAACCCTTTCGAATTTCTCTCCTTCGTATTACTGCTGTTATTGTCGTCGCTGGAGCCACTCGAAGGCGCAACTCGAGTTTTAAGCAAATTTCTAAGCAAGACATCAAGTTAGTATAAAGTAATAAATCTAACAAAGAACACCAATTATACTTAAATAAAGTTCTTTATATTATTAATGGAATCAAATTATAATTGTTCCAAACAATTATTTTCTGAATTAAATAACGTGCTACTCACAATAAAGGATTTTCGACTTTCCAAGGTCGTTTCAAAGATCCCACAGCCTCGAAACCAAACAAGTGAACTCTACATAGCTTGTTTCCGAGCACATTTGGCAAAGACATGACTGCTTGGAAAAATAAAGGTTGAATATAGCCATATTTGTCCAACAAAAAGCAAAGCATGGCCGAAATTAGCACCGACTCTACTACTAATTTGCGTAGTTCCATGTAGTCATGATCCCTAAAGTTGACCAACTTGGAACTAATTCAATAAATAAATTTTTTACACGTAACAGTAGATTGGAAATAATACTCTCCAGAAGGCTGCTCCACTTTTACCAGCTCTTTAGGATCATCTAGATGAAGATTAAAATACAAATAGGTAGTGATGACTATAACATTATACACTTCATGTTTGAAATTTTATGTCTCAGTATCAAAATAATAATTCCACAAAGAAATAATGATAGTCCATATGAGCAACGGACATAAAAGCAGTGGCGAGGTTCGTTAAAATTTAAAAACTTTAGCTACATATATACATAACAAAAGTTTTAAAAGTAGTTAACTTCAGATAAATATGTATAAGTACCAGCAATAAGCAACCTATAGAAGTAAAAAGATTGAAAGCGGCCATATCTCCCCGATCCACCTAATATAAAATTAATACTATAATCATTGACAACCACCCAACTTTCATAACCCCGAGAGATTAAGAAAAACGAAAGCTGACCAACACTTGCTCACCAAATGGTCGTGTTTCTCCTAATACTATATTTACATACCTTTCACCTTGGCGTTTCGCCACAAACTTTAAAAATAAAGTAATCCATGCCAGCCAACTACACAAGTGTGTACTCTTGCTTGTAGAAACAGCATACACCACATATAACTCTTGAGCATGACGAAATTATAAAGTTAACGTTTACCCGTCGACAAGCTTTTAAATGTGGCATTGCTACCTTCAAGCTTCAGTCCTCTACCAGCGTAAGGTATGTGGTACGCCCTCAATAATATTCTTAAACCTAAATTTTCTATATTGTTGATATTGTAGACTTATTAATTTGAAATTTAATTATTTTAACCAGTAAAATAATTAAATGAATATATAATGAACTTCTAAAGAATATAAATGAAAATTTATAAGGTATATAAAGTTCTGTATTAATTAATTTGATAGCTCTTGAGCCGCCTGAGTAGTACTATACTACCAACTCACCAACTGTAAAAAAAAGATAAAAAGCCTTTTGCAAACCACCCTTTATCATGTACAATTAGTGTTATGCCCCTCCAAAAAGCCGGGGAGGGAAGGGATTCATTTAGATAATACCCAGTGTTGTTTAACTGCTATAAAATCCACAACAGAAAAGCAGCTGGTTTAACCCTAGCCAATACCGTTTTATTAATGATTCGATTTATTTAAACCCGAACTAGTTTGGTAATAACACTTTTTGACTCCCAAAAGAAAACTGACTTAGTTAAAACTAATTTTGGTTAGTTCTTCGAATCGATTTTTTTTATTAGTGAGAGAAAACTACTATAAAAGGTAATTTGTTTTAACTAATTTTTTCGTTCTACTTTAGTAGAACATTGTAACGTTAGTTAATAGTTACCTTGATTTTGATTGACCCTTTAATTTCGTTTTTTTAGTGTAACTACCACAAAGCTTTTAAAATAAATCAGCCCTCAAGCTTTAGTTCTTTTTTTTTTTCTAATGCATATTTTTCCCCATCTTTAATTATATTCTTTTATTATTAATCTATTTCAATTTTTTCTTTCGTTATTATATTATCCATAAAATTTTTATTAAACTGCACTGTGGAGATAAAATTACCCCAATGGCTTCTTATGTTTTTCTAATATTAATATTGAAAATAGTTCTTAAACCTTGTTTTATTGGACTAAGTTCAACAGTAAAAAACTTTAAATGCATTCTTTAAATTTCAATGCTTGATACAATAAACAACAGCTCTGCACTTTCTTCGTCCCTTTTTTCCTGTTTTATTATACATTTTTATTTATTTCAATAAATCTTATAATCTTTCTCTATTTTTCTACTATACTTGGTTTCTTATAACTCTATAAATATTTAACAACTTGATGCTTTATTTTTCGTCAACTAACATATTTAAATCCATAAAGCTTCAAATTATAGTTTTAATTTAAAAAAAGTTAAAAATGGTAGAAAAAAGGGAAAAGCGGAACCACGTGGGCTCTTATGTGAAAAAGTTTTGTGAACGTTTATGCAAGTTTGCGCTTGTTATATACTTACTTGAAGTTACTGCGGTATGCAAGATAAAAATGATGTTAAGATCCAGTTCAATGAAAAAAATTATAATTTTATGCTGAAGAGTGTCTTGAATAATTCAACTTTTCGGCCTTGTCAAAAATCAGAATTTGGTGATAAATGCTTGAATTTACTTTCTAAAGATAACTTTCCGAGCACTATTACACTACTAGGAATTTTTGGCTTTTCACTTATAGGGGTTGGTTCTTATTTAAGCCGAAGAACTTTTTTACGTTTAAATCGGTTTAGATTTGACCAACCTTATAAAAGGACTTTTAAGGGAGAATCTCAAGTTCTATCTGAAGATATGTTGTTAGTTTTCAATTCTTTTGTAAATGCCAGTATGCTATGCTTTGGCATATTTGCGCTAAGTTCTTCACTAGTATTTAGAGCCATGAACGTTAACAGCGTTAAAGAATTTACTAAAAAGGTAGAGTTCAAGTTTAAAGGTGAAGTTTCAGACCGCTTCGACGAAATTCTATTTAACCCTATTGAAGAATAACCAGAAACTTTGAAAATAATTTATATAATCCTACGTCGAAGTCTCTAATATCTAATCTTTAAGTGTCGCTGTTTTTCTTGGTTCCATTATTGAAAAAAAATTATTTACGAGGTGAAGGCCACGGATTTCTATTCTTACTTGCGACAGCTTTGTATTCAGGTAACTTTCCAGTACAACACTACTTTTTACGGGCAATAAAGCTTATAGTTTCCTTTCCAAGTTTGGGTTATTTAAGTTAAAAAAGCCAATCGGTGTTTTTTGTAAAATTTAAAGAAAGATTACAAATTTTTCTATTTGAATTAAAAAAGGTGCTTAACTCATACACTCTGTTTTTTGTAAGTTAACATTTATTGTTCACGCAACTCTTCATAATTGTACAGACAGGTAAGCGTGATATACTTATTTATACGGTTGCTCTCTCCACTTAAAAATATTGTATAAATCCTATTAACTGACGCATTTTCGATGTTTTTTATTAAAAAGGGGTTTAACAGACTGAATAATTTTTATATGCATGAAATAAAAATAAGCCTTGCTCTTAGAATTTACTTCTTAAAAAAACTTATTAAAAAATCAGAGATTTTTTTGGTCACCTTGCGTTTTAAAATGTGGAGATAATGTGTACTTTAGCAAATATACTAAAAATAATTTATAAATTAATTTCAGAACACCGTTAGTTTAAATAGTTTTAAAGTAGGGTTAAGAACCAGGGAAAACTCGATGTCGGTTAAGTTGACAACGTAAGCCGGACCCGTATAGTGGTAAGGTAAATAAAAGACCTATTAAAACAAGAATTAAAGACTTATAATATGTAGCTATTTTACAGGTTTTTTTTTTAATAACTGTAAAAGGCAAAGTTTGTCTCTTTTAGGTGTTTATTATTTTTAAAGTATGATAACAAAAACATTCATTCAACTCAATGACTTTTAACAATTGTAAATTTTTACGTAAATTTTATATGACCTACAATAATGGAAAGAGAGCTTTGCCCACATATTTAACATCTGAATTTTGGCACGTAAAACATGATTGCAAGGGTCATAGAAATTAAAGCGGTATTAGTAACCTCCAGAAGTTTTATTGCCTATATATATAGGAAGGGAGAGAAAAACTAGCGAAAAACACTTTCTGTTAAAAAAAGAAACAGATCAAAAGAAAAAAGATAAATACCCTTGTTTATTATTATTATTTATTTACCTTCTTAATTCTACGCGCAACCAGTATATAAAATCTTTTTCACTGCTGCTTTCTTAGTTACCCAATCAGACTGGTTTCTAAATCGCTATAATACTAACAGGTTTCATACGTAAACCCAACAACACCGGCTGAAGGTTGCCTACACAACTCAGCGGTTTAAAAGCAAGTCAAAGTTGTTGCTTCAATTCTAGTCGCGCAGCTCGCAATTTCTGGTCTTGGCGATGCCGTTACTTCTTTAAGTCAAGGGGTCAAAACTATTGAGGGCTAAAAAGTTGTGTAAAGTGCAATGGGTGTAAGGACTCAGATTTATTTTTTAACCCTCCGCCTCTGTCAGTACCTTCGTTTGCACAACAGTGTTCCTGTCTTTTCATCTGAGTTAGTAGTAAACCCAAGTCAGCTTGATCTGCTGTAGAAGAACTTTAATATACTTTTTAATCACTTTCTACTCCTGTCGATCGTTAGAACGAAAAGGAACATACATAACTCACCTTAAACGAGAGATTTCTCGCTCCCTTGAAAGGAGCGGCCACTATTTTGCGTAATGGGAGATCTAAGGAAAAAAGTTCTTGTTACCTAATCTTAGAAAGGGGTTAGAATGGTTAACCTCCCTTTTAAAGTATTTATGGACAATGAATTAACGTACACTTTTATGGTTCGATGAAGTTAAACATGTTATAAACCCCGAAGGCAATAGTTAACGTGTGCAACAGCTCATTTTTGTAATTTTGTACCCACCCGATGTATTTAAAAGAGTAGTAACCATGTAAGAAATGTGTAGGTCAATATAAGACGAAATTATTGTTTTTATTATAAATTTACTCATCAGGGTAAGGCAAATATAGTGCGGCAGTCAACCTTTTCTCTTTGCTTAGTATGTAATCTATAT